AGATGGTATATTAGTAATAGAAGCTTGGAGCTCGACATCGTTTTATTGATTATTAAAAGAGGCACAGCTGGAGCGCGTTAGTCACTTATTGTGCTTTTGATGATTAATAAAATGATGTTTTTGTAATTAAAAAGTAATGTTTTGTAATTGTATTATTTTTATGGTGTATTTAGAGCCACTAAAAATAAATAAATGAATAAAAATCTAGTCTTAAAACTCAAATCAACCAAATATATTTGGGACAGGCTTTCAGTGTGGATAAAGTGCAGGTTTACAGATTCTATAACAAGGAAGAAAGAATTGTGATTATTGGCAGGCTGTGATTCCTATGTGCATAGTTAATATGCACATAGGAATGTTTGCTTATTTATTTATGTCAATTTTGAGATTAAACAGAATTAAACAGAATCCCGACTGAGTCAAAATTTTGATATTAAAGTCAGAATCTTGAGCAATAAATCAAAACCTATTTTGCTTGTTTTAGTGGCCCTAATCTTCATCCATTTCTATGTATGATTTCACAAAAATATTGAGATTATACTTAGATTTGACAGATTCTGTGTAAATTATCCCTGCTTTCCAGTTAATTCTCATGAATTCCAACTTATTTACCATGGAAACGCTCAGGAAGGTGAGCATCGTTAATGACGCCGTCAAGAGGATCTGAGGTAATTAATAAAGGGACAAAACAAAAAAAAAAAAAACACTTTCACTGCATATTTATTTCAACACAATACAATATATACAGCATCAAAATGAAACGTTTCCAAAAGAAACAAAAATAAAAACAACAAAAGCAAAAGAGAGAAAACATCACCACTGATTAGCAGTATGGCTATCACTCTTTTCCCGACGTTGACATTCATATGGCACTTAACTCAAACGTTCAGCACAGGATCTGTATTAAAATGTTTCAAATCAAACACACACAATTGCAATTAAGTATCGGTGTAACTCTTCAAATCATAAAAAGTAAAGATTCATTTTTCATCTCATATATTAAACATATTTAAAAGGCAGTAGTAGAAACAACAAAATATCTCTCTCCGGCGACACCTTTCCCGACGTTAAACGTCTTTAAGCGGTCACCGTTTTCTATTTTCCCTTCCTGAAAAAGCGACGCGGATCTCACCAATGGCAGGCTGTGGAAAACCCCCCCAAAACAAAACAATAAAACACACCGTCTCACACTCTGAAGCTGAAATAGTAGCGGTACTGAGATAGGCTGGATTCTTGAAAGACACGGAAACACATCTCCTCGAATTTACACACACGACCCTTCCTCCGCGCGCTCGCACAGATACACACTCCGACTCTTCGAGTTTCAGGCAGACAGCGACAAGATGGCCGCGTCGTCGGCGGTCGCCGTAAGTTCATGGCATCGGAGATAACAGGTTTAAATGCTTCTAGGTTTTTTTTTTTTTTCCTGTCAGGAAACACCTCTGCACCAGCTATAAGGTGAACACTGTGCATGGCAATACGCAACGCAGCTTTGCATATAACATCCTAGGTTCTCGGATATGGAGTAGTAAGAAACAAACAAACAAACAAACAAAAAAAAACAAACAAAAAAAAACAACATTCTGGTCAGGCCTTTCTGGTTACTCTAAACCCACACAAAGAAGAGGCACGATTCGTACACAGGTAACTATAAAGCTAGAAGTTTCCTTTCATATTCTTTATACAGATGGAGGCAGAAAAAGGGGATTGTTAAAAAACCCATAATCAACAAAACAAAGATTTAAATTGGGAACAGAAACATGTTTTCATTGTGGGGTTTGGCGGCGGAGCATATTGTCCGAGCTTTAAGCCAAAAGTCACACAGGCTTTAAAACAAAACCCAAACGTCCAAAGTAATCATTACCTCCAGCGGTGTGTGTCCACAGGATGTTTGAGCTGTGGTATGAGTCAGAAGGTTGTTCCTGTTTTGTCATAGATCTGCATAGCAAGGCCAGGCTCCTTCCCTGATTAGAAGTCGTCACATAAGCCGAGGAATGTAGAGTCGTCCTGATCCGTCTGCCCAGAAAATGACAAGAACCGGACTAATGCTTTCCACTTTAATGCGATAAAATGGATTTTTTGTTTTTTTCAACCGAGGTGTTCAGTCAGTATTGGTGTAACTTGAAGGCACGCTCCCCCCTCCCCCCGTCCTCACTGGTCAATATTTCCATCCCCATCTCGCAGTGCCGTCTCTAAATGAAACCAGCGGTTTGGTTGCTCGGCTGCCTACTTTCGCTTTTTTTTCATCCTCGATTTTCAGGGAGAAAAAAAGAAAAGAAAAACAATCCCTTCTTTCAGATATTGTTCTCTTTTCTGTTCCGGCCTTCATTAGTTGTTGATGTTTTCCTCTAATGTAGTGGAGGATCGGTGCCAAAGCAACTGCTTCACTGCTCACTTCAAGGAAAGCCAGGAAAAATTTGGGGCGGGCTTTCCACGGATTTATTAATCAGTTTTAACATCTCCTTTGGTTTCGATGCCCTCTCTCTCTCTTTTGGCCGGGATTTGTTTTGTTTTTACTCACTAAGTAGCTGCCCCAAAGAAATATTTGTATGGAGCTCCAATGGACTGTTTTATCTAATTTCTTGAAAGCCGTTTCTAGAGCTCAGCTTGATCCAGAAGCGTAAATAAGTATGGCGGTTTGCACAATGATGTAAAGTTGCCAGAAATGGTTTGGCAGGAGTTTCAGGACATATTCTGTGTCTCAGCAGAAATCAGGAAAAAAAAAAAAAAAAAAGAGAGACAGCAAATAATTGGAATGTCTGGGGCAAAATATCAGGAAACTAAAGATGTGAAGGAATTCTGATTATTGGTGTGAGAAACCATGCTAATAGCATTTGTGGGATTTGCCAAAGCAAACCTCTGTCAGCCTTGGGACCCGTTCGCCTACAGGTGGTAATAAGTCAATAGTTTTTGCTAAATCTTCCTGGAATATAGCTGCTCCTACTGTAACAGAGTTATGGACATTAAATCTTCTAACGTATTGTAAAAGCCAATATTATGTATTTTCCAGGCACATAGTGCAATTTTATAGCAGAACCAAGTAACTATGCTACTTTCAGTTGTTATAAAAACACTTTATGTATCAAATACGACAAAGGAAATTCGAGTTTGTAGTTTAATACCTTAAAATTGGGTCTCTGTCTCTTTAATAAACTCCTGCTCTTTTTGAAACAGGAAGTCATCGCAACACTCCTAAATTAACCCTTTAGCAAGATTTTTACAGGTGTTTCACTGAGTTCCACCAGGTGTTTGCTAATTGTTGCTTGCTAGTCTGAAGGAGCTGAGACTGCTCTGTGAGGCAGAGGCTCAGAAGCTGCAGCCCAGAGGAGGAGCTTCGTCCTTCAGGGCGGAGCTAGATCCAACCAAGCTTTTATCATAGCTGAATGGTTGCCATGGGAGATTAAATGATTTCTCAACCATGCATAAAAGAGTCAAGGCAACACTCCGGGAATTTTTTTGATGAGGGAACAACATTACAACATGACGTAAAGCTCAAAAAAGTCATTACGTAGCACTGTCCCTTTAAATGGAACTCAATCTTCACTAAGAGCCCAAAAGCAGCTCATCAATCAAATAGTGAATTTGAATTGAGACTTATGTTTGTCTGATTAGGATATTTCCCCCCTCTATTTTTAGACATTTTTTTTCAGATGAGGAAAGAAATTAAGATTTTTTTCACCGGCCGTCTGAGGGCAGGAGCTTCCTATGCCACAAAAATCAGGACACACTTAGAGCAGCTAGCACCACATAGCAGAAAAATAGTAAAGTACAAACATAAAGGAACGAAAATGACTTCTCTACATGGGGAGATACTGTTTGGTTTGGAATACTTTTAATCTATTAAAAAATATCTATGAATAATGGAGCAATCCAAACTGTAAAAACATTGAAAACATTTTCTTAAGCACTAACTTCTAACTTCAAGGTATTTTCTTAAGATTTTATATTTAGTTATGCACTAAAATATCAATAAGCCAGCATGAAAGTATTGGTTGTAACCTAACATTAGTATTAAAAAAAGGGTTATTGGTTATAAATCCTTTTCAAGGCACTGTACGTCATAAACTTCAGCAGAAAATAAAACTGTTGAGCTTTAAGATCCACTTGAGTCCAATTAGAGATACGCTCTACATGTTTCAACAGATGAGCTGAATTCCAGGTGAAATCTTTATATATTTATATATATATATATATTTTTTTTACATAGTGATATGTAGAGGAGATTATGAAAAGTAAAGCCATGAGCTCGCTTTTCTGTGGTGTTGTATAGAGTGCATTTGACTGCAGGCTCACATCGTTTCCATCACGCAGTCCTGACTGAAACCCCGTCTCAGCAGTTGCTGAATGAAATGCACACTCGTGTGGTTGAATATCTCAAGTTATTTCCATAAATGCACAAATCAGCAAGAAGTTCCTGCTGCCGAGCCAGAAGAACCACATCAATCTGCATTCTTCCTTTACCTCTGCGACTGCAAACCGTGACAGATTCAGACCAGGAATCCGTCCTGTTCGCAACGCCACATTCAAACGCAAGGAGAGCTCTCAGGAAATTCTCTAAAGAGTCTTTCTTTAATCTTTTGAGATCAGTCAGATTTTTGGTTGCTGGTTTTCAGGTTTCCAACCTTATCACCAGAACAAATCCCAAGATAAACAAGCGAGTAAGCTAGTAGCCACCTGAGAGTTTTAGCTCTTTCTCAAAAGCTACGAGTGGAAAAGGATTGACCTCATTGAGGGATTTAAGAGTTTTTAAAAACCGCTTTTCCACTTGTCTAGTTATTCAAGTCAACTTTAGTGAGCACAATTATCTCCACAATTACTGACTCTCCAGAAGCCATTGTGTCATTCCTGGGGAAAAAGGGTAAAAAAAAAAAAAAAAAAAAAAAAAAAACCTGAAAGCAAATTCACCTTTCATAGCAGTGGCAAAATCTTCAATTAAATTTAGAAAAATTCAGCCATTTATTTAATAAAGTAACAAAAAAAATGTTCTACTTATTTTAAGGTATAATATCCTGTTTAAGCTGACCACTGTGTGCCTGGGAACTTTTAATAAGTAATTCATGACTTCATGCTGTATAAACACCATGAACCACAGAGGCTGTGTTTTTTTTGCCACTGGCCTTTATGTAGGATAATTATCTTGTTTCCACATACAGTAATGAAGAAAAACAAAAACAAAAAAACACTATAAAGCTTTTTGTTACGAAAACTGCAGCACAGACTAATCTCCTGGGATCTCCGTAGCAACTATTGGACACATAAGATAGAAAAAACATTTCTGTCCTACCAACACAAACATAAACATGTGCTTACTAAAGTGTGGCGAGTTTCTAATTGGAACCATGTTTGGTAAAAATTGAGCTTTTCTCCTTTAAATAATCATCAACGTGGGACACGGTGGAGGATCTGTTATGCTTTGGGTGAACCAGGTGGATTCTGGGTAGAAAAGTGACTGAACATTAGGTCATTCTAAAGGACAATAATTATATGATAATTATGAAACGAGTACTGGCATCATAGCTGTTTATAACTTGTTTGTTTTGTGAAAGGAAAGGATAAACTATTATTTCTCCATAGTAAATGCACTCAAATTACATTCTCAACATAAGATTATGGCACTGAAATAAAAGTTGCATTTATTTTAAGGCTTCTTCCACAGCACCAATAGGTTCTGTATATACTTTTTTTCACAAATCTAAAACCCAATTCCATATAAAATCATTAGAAGGGGGGATGTCAGGGGTCTCAGTTTCATCTTTTATTTGAACACCAGATTCCTTCATCACGCCGTAATGTGGGCCGCCTGGTCTTCAAGAGGTAAATGAGTTAAGCAGATGGAAAGCGAGTCCCAACACCGAGTTGAACACAAAGTCACTTTATTATTAATCTAAGGAGCCTCTGATTGCAGGGACTTTTTTTTTTTTTTTTAAAGCTGAGTCAGCAGAAGATTGCTGCTGGTGAGGCTGACGATGATGCAGTGGTAATTGACAAACTCCGGCTGCAGGAGACTCCGCTCTGACCGCACATCAAAAATCCAAATTTGAACTCAACCTATAGCAGGAGGAGAAGAAGAAGAAGAAGAAGAAAAAAAAGCCCCGGGGATCTTGGAAATACACCCCACTTCACTGGTGCCAGAAACATGAAGGCTGTGTGGGATGAAGTCACATGTCACACATTAAATTTCCTCCAAATTAACCAGACGCTGATTACTTGAACTCACAGGGTGGGTTGGGTTGATGTGTGTGTGTGTGTGTGTGTGTGTGTGTGTGTGTGTGTGTGTGCAGTGGGTTTTGGGGGGTAAGTGGTTCACCTCTGGCTGCTTTTCCAGATGAGGCACAGATCAGCTCGTTCCTCCTCTGCAGCCTCTGCTTTGATATTTTTCTCCGTCTGCCGCCGGTTGAAAAATCCTCCTGTATGCTTGTGGCTCATTCTTAAAATTACAGCTATCAGCGTGATTCATCCGTCCATTATTGTCTCAGCAAGTGGACGAGTATCCTTTTAGATACTAATCACTGTTAGTGTCTATGACCTTATGGAATGGAGAGGGGAAAAAAAAGCTTTATATCTTTCTTCCTGTTTAAATCAAAACTACAGAGACATTGAATTTACACTGAAGAAAATAAGTTTCATTAGAAATCTATAAAATGAATGAGAAAATACTGTAAGGATATCTTTTTTTGTTGTTCCGGCCACTTGGATTATTTGATTACGTCTGGTTCTGAAAGGGTGCGTTTGAAAACGACTCCGTCCTGGTTGAAGGAAACCCTTCACACGTACGTCTAAAATCAGAAACTACGAGCGGCTGGATTGAGCTTCGGAGGTTTTATTTGGGGGCGTTTCTCCGTCGTAAGGTGGTTCACCTCGCTGACGACCTTTCCCCAAAACGCATCGGTACCTCTCGTAACACAAACGCTCGATCTGTCCTCGACTTCATCGTGTCTTGTGTGGACCATTTGGTTTATCAGAGGTGTTCCTTTAGTAACAGTCTCCTCCTCTCGGCGGGTATGTCGGCACACCCGATCGTTGGCGTTCATGCAGTAAAGGTCTGTCGGGATTCGGACTGCGCCAGAAACCCTTTCCCCTACCCGAGTCTCGTCAGCTCAGAGTCTTCGTTGCTGCAGCCGAGAGCGCCGGCCTCCCGGGGGGACTGGACCTTTCCGATTTCTTCAAGGGCGCTGGCCAGAGAGTCCAGGTCCCCGGGGTCCTGGTGCTGCGCTTCCCACAGGCTCAGAATCACCGACGACGGGCTCTCCTGGCATGCAAAGTAGCCCAGGTTCCTACGGGTTGGAGAAATGGATGCATTTTAAAAATAAATCAAGGAAATGATGTGATTATAACAAGAAAGAGATTCACAGTCAAATAAATGAGGTGATGTTTGGGATTTTTTTACTATAAATTGACAGAAATTATGTTTTTTTTTTTCTTGTAGGTGCATCTGAAGGATATCTTTAGTGAATACTGTATGAAAAAACTGATTTGATTTAAAATAGAAGTTTCACAAAAAAATTACATAATTAATCACAAGCAGCCAAGAGGCCGACGGTAATCCGGTAACCCGTAGTCAGGATTAGAAAATCTGTTGAAGCTCGTGGTTGTAATGTGACAAAAACGTGAAAACTTTCAAAAGGCTTAAAGATTTTAGCAAAGCGCTGTTTTTGTGCGTTATTTTAGAATTCTCAGTTACAAAATATAAAAAGACAATCAGAAATGATGGATGAATCAAATCGACTGATGCAGGTGTGATGCATTCACATCTCTGTGTTCAGTTTGACAACAACTTACTGTGACGTCAAACGCTCAAAGTTCAACGTTTTACATCTAAAGCCAAATGTAAGGAAATCTCAGCAACACTTTGACGGGATGTGCATAAGACTGACATGACACGGTCATAAATACGACATAACATCTGTTATGAACATAAAGAAGTCTTTATGAATGTTTATGACTGTTGTCATGAAGAAAAATAATGACAATTTTAATGCAAAGTTGCTTTAAAAGTGTCAACATTTACCGAATAAAGATCTCAGTCATAAACATTCATAGACACCTTCATGTTCATATAGCAGATGCTATGTCGTATTTATGATGGTGTTCATGTCAGTCTTATGCACATCCCTTCAAATAAAGGTTAACAAAATGTCTACACATTTCCATCTCTTATTGAGTTTCACATCTAATTGATTGGCTTTATAAGAAGTTATATGATTTGTAGAGTGCTGATCCTCCATATCTTTAAATTTTGTTCTTCACAGAGGATTTGTCCGTACTGGAGACATTTTTACTGACAATGTGGTTCGCCTTTTTTGACAAGGTGGGGCCTTTCAGTCGTTTTATATATAGCATATATATTTCTTGTCTCATCTCCATATTGCTTTGTAATATATGCATCACAAGCCAGTCAAAACTCTAAAACGGAACAAGTCTCAGAGGTATTGTGGAATGTATTTTATTTAAAGGAATGCAGAGTGTGCAGCTGTTTGACGTTTTCTCTTTTCATATTAACACAATAGTTTCATCTAACACATGGCAGATTGCTGCACGTCAACAAGTGTTTTCCCTCTGAAATATAAGTAATAAATCAGCCTTTATGCTGCAGCACCTTCAAACAGTATTCACACAATTTGACACACACACACACACACACACACACACACACACGCACACACACACACACACACACACACACTTTTACAAATAAAAGTTTAAGGATGTATTTCGTTGGGGTAAACAGTGCATAACAGTGACATGAAAGGAAAATGGCACGAGTTTCAAAGTTTTATAGAAACTGAATTTTGTCTATGTTAGTACTTTATGAAAATTATAGGCATGAAAAGTTCAGATTAGATAAGCACATAAGATGTTTTAAAATGTGAAGGACCTTTTATTAGTTTCCGTTCCCTCATCCAGCAGAGGCTACTTAAACAGACTCACATTTGTTCTTTACCTTCATTACTCTTACAAAGTCTCTCCAACAGAGGGCACTGTTTCATCACAGTGACATTTCATCCTGCTGCCTGTCTCCTATTTTGCTCTCTTTTCCACTTCCTCATCCTCCTTATGTCATTATGTTCCCACACATTCACAGAAATAATTACAGAAATCAGCTTAAGTAGGTAGAGACATTCTTATGACATGCTTCTCAGCGTGTTTGACTATGTCGTAAAAAAAAAACAACAACAAAAAAACAACAACTCTGAAATCCGTTCCCATTTCTCAGCTACAGATGTTTGTTTTCAGACCCGTTTAGGCAAAGCTCCCCTAATTGTGCAGTTGGCGCATAGTTTCCCAGTTAACTTTTTTTTTTTTTTTCCCCCTCGTCTCGCGTTCCTCTAACCGAAGAGAAACAAAGGCAGTCGCGAGCCGACCGCAAAGATCTGAGAGCGGTCGTGGCAATAAGCACTTGATTATTGACTTCTCCTCTGAAGCACAAGCGGAGATCAGCGCATCTCCAAATAAATAAAATCCTCCCACGCCCACACAAACACTGACCTGACACGAGCTCCTGAGTGTTCAGCAGGGGCGGGGGAAGACGGAGCGGGCGTAGCTGCTGCTGCTGCTAATGAGAAGCGCGAACACGAACACATTTTATCGCCAGAGGGCAGGGCTGTCATCAGTCAGAGACCTTTCCTCAGATTTCTGCAAGGCACCACATCCGCTTTGCAGCTACTGTATGTTAAACTGTGCTAAAGTCGACCCCAGCGCCCTGCTACCCCCCCCCCTGCCTTCTCGCCTTCTACGTACATGTTTTAGATCTATAATGAAATCAGCAGAGTGGTGCGCAAGTGAAGGCTGGTAGGCGATGAAAGATAAAGTCTGACACTGGCTTAATTCCTGCCTAAACGCGCGATTCAGAAGGAGAGCTGTGTTTGCACTGACAGAGGAATGAGTTACGCTGCGCTTCAGAACAGAAGCTTCATGGGAAGACGAGCCAGTGGAGTCGGCGTGGAACGTGAAGGCTTTCGTTCAGACCTGTCTATGTGGAGCTTCTGAGCCAGCAGCTGCCAGTCCTTCCCGTTGGCGTTGGCCGTGTCAAAGGTGGCGCTGATCCGCTGCCGGATGGACGGGGGGATTTTGAAGGCCTTCGATCCTGTCTGAGAGGTGATGGTGCAGTCGGACTGCGTGAAAAAGGGAACCGCTCCTTTTTCGTTCTGGAAGCGGAAGAGGAGGAAAGAGAGAAGATGAAGGACAAAGAGTCACCGAGACAATGCAGAAAAGTTCATTCAGCGAGCTCTTGAATCAGATCGATCACATCACAATCCATGTATACCATTTGGTATTTACCCTCCTACAGGTTTGAATGTTCAATTGAATGCTAAGATCATCAACCAAATTTTGATGTCAGACTAAAGACTTCGTTCACACAGCAGGCGAATGCGACTCAAATCCGCTTTCTTTGCCTATTTTTTTTTCTGCGTACACGCACCTTTCCCACTCCAGTCTGAACATCCCAATACTGATATTTTCATTTCCCCCAAAATTCAATCTGTGTCACTTCCATATATGGTACTAATTTGAACACTTATCCAACATTTTCCAAAGCTCTGCAGTCTCAACAGTTAGGTCTCATTTGGCTTTTATGTCACCGATGTGAGAAATGCCTCGTTATTTTGCACAAGAAGAAACCAGACGCGGTAAATGTGGATGCAAACAATGGCTGAAAATTATGATTACAAACTTAAGAGAGACGTCTGTCGCTGCAGCGCATCAGATCACAATCCCACCACTCTTCGCTCCGACTGCATCCAAACAGACTTCCCTGCAGAAGCTGCAGTCGGCGCTCCACAAAAGCCCGTCGCTATTAGTCGTGCTTTCTTTTTATTAGCTTCCTCCGGGTTGTCCTGGTTTTGTAACAGTTCTCTCAGTTTTCATTGCTGAACAAACTTTAAAATTTCATCCACTGTTATTTCCGTAACCTGCTGTGTGATGTCTTCTGCGCATGAGGGTTGCTTTGAGGTCATAAACCATTCAGACAGAAATTTGATTTAAATAGTAGTAATAAAGGCCAGGCAAAAAAAAATAAAAAAAAAATTTCAGAAATAAAATCTGAATTGAGCATCAAACCCTGCTGTGTGCATGTAGCCAAAGATAACCTTAACATTCAAACGATGCTAATCTGTGATCAACCACATATTTCAGTTAGTTAGTTAGGACTGGGGGAACTGGGAGAAGGCAGTGGAGCTCGACTTTTCCACAGATTATCTGTCTTATACTATCCTGTCATGACAGAGTGAGAGTTTTAACAAGTATGTAAAAAAATATATAATTAAACATGTATTTCTGTTAAAGCTACTTCAGCTTTAAATACGACTGAGGATCTGTGCAATCACCTGAAACAAGCTGTTCATGCTAAACAAGGTTCTGCAGTGTGTTTGTGTGTGCAGTGGGTGATTACTGTCTCCCACTGAACCACGCTGGCTTAGAAAACTGTATTTACTCTCCACATTTCTGCTTGATATTAAAATTCGCTTGACGAACTGAAACATGTAAGTGACAAAAAATAAATAAATAAATAAATCAGTAAGTCTTTCAGATACGTATTCGCAGCGCTGCATCAGTGCGGCTCACCTCCACGACAGACGTGTAGATCTGGAGTATCTGCTCCTCTCCTGTGACCTGCCGCACGCTGATCTTGCAGGACAGCTGAGACGAGGAGAGGCTGTAGCGCTCCAGAGAGAAGGCACACTGCAGGGGACACCGGTTACTGGCCCACACCTGAGAAAAGGAGAACTCCTGCGGAGCCGAGAGAGACGGAGGGCGGGGCGGGATGACGGGATTAGGCTGGGTGGACGGGAAGACTCGTTGAATTCGACATGGGTCGGCTAATGTTTCTGAATCTCACTCTGCCCCTCTGCATGCTTAATTACGAGTGAGCGAGTGGCCTTGTTAGCCGATCGATGACGTTAACGAATCAAGAAGCTTCACCGGGAGTTATAAAGTATCTTGTACAGAGAGAAAATGCAATAATTTGAGAAATTTCAGGTGTTATGTGGAGGATGTGCTGCTAAATCTAAAAAAAAAGAGATGTTGCTAGCATAATGCTAGCACCCGTTATAAATATTTGATTTATACTCTATAAGTCAGGATTCACCTATTAACGTTCCCCTTATTACTCTAAATGTTTTCTGTCTACAGAAGTAACAGCCAACAGTGTGTACCTTGAAGTACATTTTTTATTTTTAAATCAAATGAAACTGAAAATTGGGATAATATGTTGGATTCAACATTGCTACCTCCATCAGTGTCCCTACAGCCCTTTGTTCCTCTCTTTTATATTAGATTCTTCTTAGCATTAACATTCTGGAAACTGAAAATAGACAAGTCAGACCTAAAGGAGAAACATAATTCAGTATTTTTCAGAAATAAATGAAAGTGAAGAGCACGCTTTGTCACTATTCCACTTGTTCTGAATGTACATGGACGTTACGGTAAGAACCTATTTGCTTGTCGCCATTTCCTGACTTGTGAAGATAAACACGCATGATGACTCGAGTGGCTTGTTTTGTCATGTTTCTCAGTCTGAGGATGGGTTCAGAAATATCCATCTCTCTGCGCCATGTAATATTTATGCTGCAGGAACACAGGATGCTCAGGGATTACCAATAAAACATTTCCAAACACACTGATCGACTTTAAAAAGTACAAACACAAGCAAATCTTTATCTGAATGATCGTAGTACCTGCGATTTTGCAGAAAACAAGTTATTATATTCCTACTAAACAAATTGCAGGTTCCATTTAACAAAAAAAAACAAAACAATAAATTACAGTGTAAGATTACGGCAACTGCAATAATACATTAATTTGGTTCACCGCGGTGCTGGGGGCAAGTGCTAAGGGTGATGTTTTACTTTATACAGTGGCGTTCTTAGGTGGAAAAACATATTAATAGAATAAAAACACATTTATCATCTTAAAAAGGCAGCATTTTATTTCTTTCCTTGGGAGCTTCTACATCCCACTACTGTTTATGCAGGAAAAATAAGGAGTAATACTAATCATTGAACTGTTTAGTTTGCAGAACGTTTGTTACAGATCATACCACTTGGTTAAGAGAAGGAAAAAGTGTAAAGCAAAGTCCACGACATCAGAACTAGTTCATTTTGAGCTTTAACCTCAACTCTAAATATATATATTTTACTGAACTGCATTAGTTTGAGGATTTATTGTCTTATTCTTCTCCTCTCCTCCACAGTCCTGCTGCTAAGCTTGTATCTTAATGCCGATCTTTAGACGGGGATCAATGTCGTGATTATAGAATTAGGGCGAGAGATCCCTTAACGCTCACAGTTTGCTCTGCATTTCCACCTCAGATGTAGCAAAGCTTTAGAAAGCAGAGCTACATCTGCTGAGCATATGCAGGCTGGGGCACGCTGTTCCAGCTGCCGCCGCTCGCTGCTGCGTGACCCAGACGCTGCTGCAGCCGGAACGGGTCAAAACGCAGTTGTACAGATGAATCATCCGGTCTTCAGACCCATCAGAAAAGGACAGCCACTTATAACTGCCTGCTTTAGGTGGCAGTCATGTCTGAATTAGAGCCCGTAGCCGTCTTCCTGGTCGAGTCTTCGGGTTTCCTCGTTGGTATTCTGGAGGTGCTACGGTGGGCTAATTCTGCTAATAAGATGTCGCTGGTGGGATAAACATCACAGGGCAGAACAGAACATGCAGCATGAAGACCCCTAGGAAGATAACTATGATATATCTGTGTGTGTGTGTGTGTGTGTGCGTTTTCCTGCCTACTAGTCATAATTAAGTTTGTAATGGTGCGTGTGTGGGTGAGATAGCTAGCCTCCTACTGTGCCCTGCTGCTGCCCTTTAGCTTTGATGTGACCAAGCAAGCAAAAGGTGTGTGTGTGATGGAAGAGTGAGGCTGCCGATGAAAACCAGGGCGAGCGCCTTCTTTTCATGCACATGGTCGCCACGGAGCCGCTTGCAGTTTCGACTTTAACGCCGATAAACTCGTTGTGAACACTTCTCGCCATTTTGCGCAACAGTCAAGGATGGAAACAGTCCAACCTGGCAGGTGGTGAAAGGCTTGATGCTCCAGAGTAACCGCGGGACGTCCTGGATGGACACCTGGAGGCTGAACGTGTTCCCCTTGAACAGCAGAATTTTGGGTTCTTCGAGGAGCCGCCCGCCCCTGCTGCGCTCCCCCACCACCACCTCCTGATAGGGAACGAGACAATTGAACAGGATTTTTGTTTTTGTCTTTGGCACAGAAGGAAAGGAAGATGGTTGCCTTACAAAATAATTTATTTTGCTACATTTTTTACCATCACAGCTGCAACAATTGAAGGTACTGCTAAATACTGCCAAGATAATACAAATATTTTTTTTGGCCGATCTGGAAACACCAAGTGAGAGACAACTGGAACTCATCGTACGTTTCATAAAAATGGAGGTGGCAGCAGCATACTGTGTGGATGCTTTCATTTAACAAGGACAGGGAAGAAAACCTCCTATAGTTGCAAAAGACTTGAGAACCTTCCAACAAGATAATCACATCAAACTTACAGTCAGTTCGCAAAACAGAATGGTTTACACCAAAGAAAATCTGTGTTAAAGTGGCCCAGTCAAAGTCCAGACCTATTTAGATAAAATTTTTAATTTGTGGGAAAACATGACACTTGAGATGAGCATATGCCCTCCATTTAATCAGACTGAGCTCCAGCTATTCTCCTGAAAAATCAGTTTTAGCCAACAATTATTTTGTTGCCTAAACAACAAAAATGTTTTTCTTTTTTTCTTTTCATTGAAAATAAAAAAAAACCAGAAAAGTTTTACAGGAAAAATTTCCTGAAAAATTTTTCAGGGAACTTTACAGTGAAAAGATTTGACAGTGTTACAGTGTGTTCACACGGTGAAGACTTGAACAAACTCTACAGGTTTACCTGTAGATGTTTTTTCTGTCTTCTAATGTCGACAGAAGAAGGATTAACAACAAACTTTGTTGTTTTATTTCCAAGGCAAACTATGGTTCATCTAAAACACAAAGGCTTCCTTTAGCTTCTCAGATTTTCACCCAAGTTTTTTTCCAGTTTTCATTTTTGACAGTAATGCACCCGTCCTTAAGTTCAAAGTCTAGATTTGGTCAAAATGAGCGGGTGGAGAAATTCTCTCTTGGCTGTGATGCGGCTCCCTCCTGATATTTTCACAGACAAAAAAGACGAAAAGATTTCTCATATAAAAATAAAACTCTGAGCAGAACAGATGAATGTTAGATAACCTTATTGCAGAACACAATTAAAATGGCTCTGTGCTGAAAACCAGATCAAATTTTTAAAAGAAGTTGTCAAATAATAAAAGAGAAACATGATTCAAGCAAACGATGTTTGCTTGAATTTTTTATGACTGGCTGGGAAACAAAAGTGTGTAAAACACCAAGGAGAGAAAAAGAGTGTGAAAAAGTGATTCAATCAATTTGTACTTGAAAATGTGTTTTTGATGGTCTTGCTATATTAAAAAAAGATCAAATTATATTAAAAAAGTAAAAAATGTCAGCAGTAAACTAAGGCCTGCATGATTTCAAACATCTGCATAAAATAAGTAATCAGTATCTCTATAGTCATAGCAGCATAAAGGGCACAATATTTCACTTAATATCTAAGAATTAAAGAGAGAAATGCAGCCGTGTGGAAAGCAGCCCTCAATAAATTGTCGGTGCTTGCCCTCTGTTTCCAGACAAAATAGCTGCAGTGAAAAAAGGTCTACTGCATGAAAAATTAGCCAAATGCCAGCTTAGAGGCAGGTGGACAAAAAACAAAAAAAAACTGAAGGACTTTGTCTATAAAAGAGAAAAACAAAGGTTCTTCTCTTGGCAGACAAGCAAAAAAAAACAAACAAACAAAAAAAAACAAACCAAAAAACAAAAGAGGTTGACAGTAATTAAAAGCTTCCCAGGATGACAACCAAAAGAGGACACAATAATCTGACAGAGAACAAAGTAGGCCACACCGAGAGGAGAACAATGGACAAAAACCGCAGCAAAAGGAAAAATTACCTCAAAGCACAGATCAAGCATTCATACCTCATTTTGTTCCTTCTGTGAACCATGTTGGGGTTTTCAACAGATGTGAAGATTCATCAATTATCTGATTATGTGAGCATGAGCTGACATTTTAACAGCTAATGTTTACAGTGCAGTAAACGAAGGATAATCCATGTTAAATGATAAACATTGGCTAACAATTATTATAAAACAAGTACATACAGCATAACAATGTATTTTTTTTACTGCTATAAGTATATGGGTAATGATCACTGAGTTGATTTAATGTTTCATACCTTTGCAGTTTTAGGTTTTTGGTGTCTGGCATTTTTATGTATGAAAAGGAGCTTACAGCAGCGCCTATTCATCAATTTGTACCCGACCTGAAGTTATTTTCTATAATCTATTCATAATACACTGGAAAGAAAATACATATGACTCCAGTAGTTAGTATCTGTCAGCAGGAGATTATGCAGTTATTCTGTTTGGATCAGCATAGTGCAGATGTGGGTTTGCATCCTCTCTGCAATACTTTAACAATAACAATACTTTAAAGCTTTCTGACGCTTTCGCTTTTAACTATTGTAAAAAAAAAAAAAAGAAAAAAAAAAGAAATGGCTCACATCCCACCTTGATGGTAAGCGCCATCGCTAAGCTAACAAGGCCAAGCAACCATGAAGTGATGACGGCAGGATTTGGACCTGAACTCAGCTCAGTTCGACCAACTGGATGTTGCCTAAGATTGATGAGGTCCAACCAGCAGTGGACAAACAGGGCCGTCATTAATCTTCCCGTAAGTTGCCTGCATGAGACACAAGTCAGTGACTCGGGGATCTCATGGATGCATTCTTCAAGCTCCCAGACTCTATCTGCTCTGGTCATTGACTTGAAACACCAGGTGTCAAAGCCCAGCCCTCGAGACTTTCAGATTGTGTCTCTGAAATGATTTAAAAGGAACACTGTGGAGGTAATTTAGCCATTCGACTCAAGTGTGTTGGACCCCGGGGATGCATCTAAAAGTTTCTGGACACCGACCCTCGAGTTACTAGAGTGACCGCCTGGCTCAGTCTTTGGCTGGGACTGTTTGGACTGACAGAGAAAATGCCACAGCTGAAACCAGATGAGGGAGCGTCTCCATCGCAAACGACCAGGAACTTATCATCATGGAGGCTCGAGGAATCCAGGAGCTCTGAGTAACGCTGATCAGCGCATTTGGAAATGGGGACATTTGTTACCCCAAAGTCCTGAATCAGAGGGACCAGAAGGTACTAATGGAGTTTGGCTATCAACGTCATTTTGATTTTTTGTGCTGCCAGTTTCTGCATTAACGTTTGCTGTCCAGAAAATTAAATTCTTCCCTGAAGTTCAAGCCTTCCAGACTAGTATCTGCATACTTTCTCTTTTTTTTAAAATTCAATTTAAAGTGTTTCTATTAATTCTTTGGTTTATAGACACAAACAGTGTCTATTATGAGCTAAAATAAGAAATACTTTTTTCATCAGCACAACTAATGGATGGAGTCTCTCTTCGCGTTTCTTTCATTCATGGTTTCACTTATTAGCCGTAGTTTTCTTTTCTCTACTTCTGAGCAGTTTCCATCGGACGACGTCTGAGATGCAGATTCATTATGGTTACATATGAATATTTAACAGCTGTTGATTTTAACACGCAGCAGCTTCTGTAACAGCTTTAAATTACATTTTAAGGAAATTGTAGAAAACTTTGTAAAATGACTTTAATTGGAGTGAGAAACTGTGTTATCTGCTGTATGGTTTTCACAAGATGTCAACATTCTCACTGTACGGTAATTAAAATTCATAAGCATAACACGGACTAACCAAGAATAGAAAAAGTGGGACTTTCATCTGCTTCCATTCACTTACACTATATCGGAAGAAAACAATGCAATTAGCACACTGAAATGACTTGCTATGGTGTTATGTGTTGTTGGAAACAAGCAGAATGAAAATGGAAAAAATATTTAAGAGCTGAAAAATATACATATTTGTAATACTTCACTTTACTTCTATAAACCGAGACTGTGAGGTGTTTCAATGAAAATTCTTCTCAGGTAGAAACCTCCCTCAAAAAGGAAAAAACAACAAAAAATCTGCACTTTCTTTTTTTTTTTGACTGTCGATATACTTTTTATCGATGCTGGATGTGTGCAATTGTGTAGTGCACTTTGCAGATAATTCTGGGAAAAAAAAATAAGACAATGCCAAGTGTGCAGGCTGCCTATCGATTTTCAAGCTCACAGGGGAAATTATTGCATGAAGCACAAAAGAAAACAAAAGCAAGGAAGAAAAACAGAAAAAAAAACCCACAAAGAGACCAAATAACCATGTGTCACTGATGGAGAAGTAGAGTGAGTTGACTCTTGGCACCTACATCCAATTTCTCGTTGAGTACTTGCAATTTTGTCTCTCAAATGAAGCTAGTACTGATGCAGAACAAGTGGGTAGTGAGAGGCAACTAACGGGACCATTTCAGAAAAACCTCTGGTTTTGTTTGTTGGGCTCAGATGGTACAATGGCTGCTGCAGAATTTCTCTCTGACCGAAAAGAACGGTTTCAAAGAAAAGAAAAAATGCAAAAAAAAAAAAAAGGACTGAACCGCGTTTCCACATAGCTCCAAACTCAAGAACAAGGCGGTGAACCCCCGCTTCGTGTGTCGAGTTGTGCCTCATTTTAACGTGTTCAAGTGCTTTACAGATGAAATGTGTTGCAGAAACACATTTAATTAACAGACAGCAAATTAAACCGCGCAAATAAAGGGCAGGGAAGCAACCCTGGAGCATCTGTTGTCTTTGTAATTAAAAGTCCTTCTTTGTCTCCTCGTCATCAAGCGTCTCCCAGTGGCAATGTTACTTAACAAGTGGATCTTCAACGGAGCGCTGCACAGGCTGCTTCCACACGCAACACTGCTGGAGCCTTATACCATTTGATAAACTTGTATGTTACACAAGAAATCTTCAGGGAGCCATTGCTTTTAGTCTTACAACTAATGCGCTTTAAGACCCACAGTAAGCAGTTTGTTGAAAACATTCAGCACTGCGTGGATTTTCACAGGTATATGAAATTCATGGTGAAATTAGAGCTCCCTCTAGCCCAGCCATAACGTTTTGTAACTTATAGGGAATTCTTTATTATTTGTATAAAGCACTGAAATAGCATTGTATCAAGATTTTTTTTATAACTTATGGTGATATAGGAGATTTAAATCTTAGCACCTTTTGTTTGATTGCTAGAGTTGTCACTTTATTTGACAATCTCAAGGTAAGTGAATTTAATAATTTTTTTGTTTGACAGACCTGCAAGCTCATCATGATACAATCCTTGGTGCGAGGCCCTTTTCCTTGGCTTTATTTGGCACTGTGACTGTTTTACACGTTCACTTTGTCTTCTTTTTCTCTACTCACCTGGACTTTGTTGCCAATAAAGGCATCTGCTTTTCACTTAGAGAGTTCTTTGCTCAGGATGAAAAATGTCTCGGTTCTCCTTATTTCTTGTAAGACTGCCATCCCATTTACAAACAACAAGCTATTTTTGTCAAGGCAAGATATGATGTCTAGTTCTGTTCCTTGTCCTCCTGGAAAACACTATTGCATATCTCCTTTGCATTCCAGTAATGTAACAATATAGGCTGCCTTAGCTAAATAATGCTTCAGCATTACCTTCCTACAAGTCTAATGCTGCAGCAGAGGCCATCGGATCACCAGCTAAGCCAGGCTGCTGCCAAGTTGGATTTGGATTTTAAATAACTTTTGTTCAATCAAGAATGTCGGGCATAGAAGGAAATGAGAGACAAAAGCTGACAAAAAAAAAAAACAATGTGAAAGTTGTAGCCATTTTAGACAAAAATACTTTTTTTATTTAATTAAAAAGGTGTCGGGTCAAAATGTGTTCGGCATAAAGAAATTGCGATCTACTTTCTGATTTATTCACTGACCAATAAGGAGCGCTCATCTGTGCATGAGGCTCTGACGCTTCATCAGGAAATAAACAAGTTGTGAAAAGAAAGTTGAACACATATTAATTACAAAGTTACACACATATTAATGGAAAATTTTGGCAAGGGATTATAGCAACCTGAGCCGTTTCCTAACTGTTGAGCAGCTTTTTGGCATTTTGAGTTGAATTTGTGCGATGAGCTCCAAGCTTTAAGGGTCAAAGCTCTTGACCCTAATTTTTATCTACTTCCACAAATTCTATCCATTTAATAAAGATCTATCAGATAAAAGTCTGGACTGTGGTTGAGTTACTACAAAATGTTAATATTACCTCCAATCATTAACTCATACATTAAAAAATGACTTCAAATTATGTAAATCTACTTTGAGTATAAATAATTACATATATTGCATATGTATGCAACTCATGCAAAGTTATGCAAGTATTATCTAAATGTCTCAGTAATGACTCAATGTTTTATATCACATTACTTTATGCAGGCGCTCAGTCTCCTCTGATGAAGAATTTACTCATTTCGGAAGGCTTAAGGCTTAAACCTTGAACGAACAATATTGCGATCTACTTTCTGATTTATTCACTGACGAATAAGGAGCACTCCTGTGCGCATAAAGCTCTGATGATTCATTGTGAAAAAAAACAACACAACCTTTTCCTACTGATTCAACTTAGTCACTATTTAAAGATGTATCAACATGTACATGTTCCATAGAGGTGAAATAATTTTTCACAAAACTCACTTTATGTCTTTAGATATTTTTAGGTATATGCTCACGAAAAGGAAAAACAAATAACTGTGTAGTTTGGTTGTCATGCCTACATAAATCTATCTTTGCAGGATCCTGGTGTTAATATACACCTCCATCACTGCTTTAAGGTAAGCTATCACAGCAAAAAAGGCTAACACCTCCAATTTCAAAAACTGTTGGTTTGCTGGTACAATGATGAGGAGCAGAGAAATAAAGCCGTAATCTGACATTTTTAAAGTTTCTCTCCAAACATCACACAGCACAGAAAAACTAACAGCATAATTGTCTTTAATTTAGGTGAATGACAATAATGTCAGGTGAGTCAATATATTCCCAATAAGGAATGTCAACCCTGTAGCCCTGTTAAAGTAGCTGCAATTAAAAAAAACAGCCTTCATGAAGCACATTTTGGTCAAAGTTTTTGACTCTTTTCTCATTCCGACAGCTAAAGCTGGAAAATATGTCAATGAGATCAGCTTTCTGATAAACTCAATCAAGTTTTATGAGAACAGAGACAGTAAGAAGTATTTTGACGCATGTGAACAAGCTGCAGAATGAGAATGATAGGTGATAATTGTTGTGGAACAAATTCATACGGAAGTGTAAGCTTAATTAATTTATACTTAGGAGGTGAAACATGTAAGCCAATTACTTCTGTTTTAACCTGAAACCCTAAATATAAAGTAACAGATAAAATAATACAACACACAAAGCATATCTTCACAAAAGATAGCTTCCAAGCTAATATCAATGGGCTTTTCATATATTCAACCTTAATAATTTCTTTGCAAAAAAACAGAGAAACTATAAAAATAAGTTTCTCCATTCTTCACATATAGATTTTACGAAATCAGTATGGAAATTTAAAAAAACAACAACTTTGATATATTACATTTGTTCCCTGATACCTGGAAAGCGTAGGGAGTGTCGTCCACACAGTACACCCTGAGGGTGAAGCCCAGCGAGTTGCTCAGGTCTGGGCTGCCAAAGACGGCTAGCCGCAGTCGCTTGGCAGCCTCCTGGTTCAGCGCCTCCCCGACCAGCGCGTAACGACCCGGCTGCTCCAACAGCACATGGCACCTCTGGGCCTCCAGCAGACAGTAGCAGGACGTGCTCTCCTCATCCACTGACATCACTTCCTTTGGTGGGAGAGGAAAATAAGATAAGTGCTAGATATAGCAGCAGAAGGAAATGCTGTTCAAAAGCAGGGTTTTTATTTGAGTTAAATTTGACAGTGAATCTTTTTGCAAGTCATTTGATTACTTAAGCAAATGATTTACCTTTGACTTTTTTTTAAATCCACATTTTGTAACTTTACTAAGTGTTTTCCAGCTACATAGTGCCATTTTACAGCACAATCAAATAATTATCTTACCTTCAGTTGTTATAAAAATGCTGAGTATATCAAAGATGACTTGAAATAAACAACTTCCTAATTTATCGCCTTGAAATTGAGCCTCTGTCTCTTTAAGAAACTCTTGCTCTTTCTGAAACTCTGCCTTCAGGAAGTCATCACAATGCCGCTCCTCTATTAACTCTTCAACAATTGTTTGGTCGAGTGAGACATAACTTGAAGTTTCCGGTCTACATACTCTGAACCCATTGTAGCTTCAGTGAAACATGGTGGTGACAGCAGTATGATGTGGGGATGCTTCTCTTTAGCAGAGCCATGTAAGCTAGCTGGTCAGAGGTGATAGAAAGATGGATGGAGTTTAAAAGTTTCAGATTGGATCAAACATTTACTCTCAAGTAGGACGACGACACTAAACTTGCAGCCACAAAGCTACAATGGAAAGGTTTAGATCAACGTATACTCATATGGGACAGTGACCTAGTCAAAGTTCAGTCCTAAATAGGGGTACATACCCCAAGTGACTTGTGTCTGTACTTGCAGGGAACGCTGTCTCTATAAATTATTGACTCAGGTGGGCTGGATGCATTTATTTATTTGCAATATCTTTCGAAATCCACATATCACAATGTTTTTCTAATCGACCGGGTCTGGCACAACTTGTGCCGGTCTGTCACATAAAATTCCAATTTGCTGTTGTACCATGCAAATCCTCTTGGAAGGCGTTGTATCAGCATCAGTGTGCTTTCTCAACGTGTGCAGTTTTATTTTTATTTCTTTTTGCTCTAAACCATTAAAATGTGGAATATGAGCGATATCATTAGTGTCATTTACAGATCATTCATTAGGAAACCGTCCAGAAAACCTCGGATAAGAAGCTATACGGAAAAAAAAACAACAACTTGCAAATGAATAATGATGCATCTCTCTTAACAGATGGGGGAGCTGGTAACAGACCAAACGGATTAGCAGGGGGCAGTTGTTTCCAGTGGCCAATTGCTCCTCATCATGTGCTAAGTTCTCCCTGAATCACCTCCTAACGTACCTGCGACCTGGCGGCCCCCTCTGCATATGGCCGAGTAAAGAAAAGCCGAGTGATTTTGTGGCATACAGCTGCTTCAACCCGGGCCCATTAGAGAAGCGGCACACATGACGGATATCTATGATATAGCTCATCCCCCCACCAGGCGACGGCGGCTGGGGGAGAAATGATGGAGTCAAACAAGTGTAAAAAAAAAAAAACGGAAGGTTAAATGGGAATGGCGCTTAGAGGCAGACGGGGTGAAAGAGAAAAGTGAGGGCAAAGGAAAGAGAGGACAGAATGGGAAAGAGACCTTCATCTTTCATTATATCACTAATTTAGAGATTAGGATTTGAGTGAGCACCCTTCCTGAGATAAAAGCCTCATTAATTCTCCATGACAGAGATGGGCCACGGTGCTACATTCGGAAAATATATTCCCTGTCTTAACCTCCGTCTTCCTGTCCGTGTCTGACCTCCCTCCCCTCCCTCCCGTTCTACGTCGGCGTATAGCTCCCATCAGCAATGGGTATTTTGATAGCTTCCTCTTTGTGCAACACATCTTGTGGCAAATTACATCTGTGTAAATGTCACGGCGAGTGAAAGGACCAGGTAGGCAAAGTCACAGATCCATCCCACCCCTTCGGCCCCCCCACCCCTCCCAGTTCAGGGAGAGTCTGGCTTTGAGGTCACTGTGACCTGATGAGGTCTCCAAAGGCTTTCGATGAGGTTACTTAAACATTAAAAGAGCAGAGAAAACACGGGGAGAAGAATGGTGACTGCGTGGAAGCGATTGCAGGTGTCTGAGTGCTCTTGTGATAGGCTGCTACTCCAAAGGGCAGAGTTGAAGGACTTTTTTACAGCTATTATTTTATTAAAAGAGCTAGATGTGCGAAGGAAGTCGCTCGGCAATCACGGAAATAACACTCTAATGCATCGAGGGAGGGGAGGTCCTGCATCTTTTAAAAGGTGCACTTCACAATTTTTTTTTTCGGTTTTTGCCTACTCACGGACAGCTTTGAGAGAGAGGTGTGCAATTTAGCTTTTTAAGTGTTTTGAATATTTAATTCTGTTTAATCAATTTTTTTTTATATTCTGGCAGCTAGGTGAGATACGTTTTCATTAAAACCTAAATCAAAATAGTTCTCCTGTTTTACTCTGTATCATTTACAGAATTCTTCATTCTTTTGCACTTATTACTCAGAAATTAAAAACAAATTAATTGTAAATAAAAGCTAAATCAGATATATTTATTCAAGTAAAAAAAAAGAGAATTTGTATCTTTAGTAAAAAGTTACTACTACCATTTACTCTATCAAGTCTTTTGGATGTTAAACAGTTTGAGATACAGTTTTAATTACTATATTTTTAATTGTACCAGCCTTAAAATAAGTATCAGCTGAATACATTAAATATATTCTTTTATATTTACACCATGCTATGATGTTATGAGATGATAGCATGTGAACTATTTTTCGGTTCAACACTCCTAAGAACCATTGTAAACGGCATAATGAGGAGCATTGTTGTGATGACGGGTGGAAGGCGGAGTTTGGGAAAGAGCAGAAGTTTCTTAAAGTGACAGAGGCTAATTTCAAGGAATCAAAATGCGACACCAAATTTCTTTTACATCATTTTTTATATCTACCTCCGTCTTATAACAACTGAAGGCAACAGTTCCTTGAGTGTGTAATAAAATGGCACCATGTGCCTTGAAAATACATAATATTCCCCTTTTAAAAGTTTCGTGCACATACTTTGGCATTAAGTGTTGAAGTGATGAGGGAAAATCTCAATCTGCTTACTTTCACTTGAGGATAAAACGAGTTCACTCACCTCCCACTTGTCCTGGATTTGTCTCTTTAACCTGATGGTCCAGTTGTCAGCAGCAACTTCTGCACAGTGTGCTATAGTCATGGCTACTGGACAGGACAGGTCGAGGCCTGGCGGGCCGTATGTGACGGCAGGACTCAAAAAGATCTCTGCCCCGTCCTCCGGCACAGTGCTGCACACATGTAAAATACAGCAGTTTTATGCCTTTTCTCAACAAATGTGCTGCATTAATTCAGTCACTGTGTGTGATAAACAACATATTTTAAACAAGAAGTGCCTAAGACAAGATCTGGAAACATTTTAACTAAAAAAGAAAACGATACTGGACTATTTCTAACAAAAATGGAAATCTGGGTATCAGTAAATAAGGCCACAGCTTAATATTTTGTACATCCTACCGGCTTTAATTATTAAAGATATGTAAATTATTACAAACCTCTTTTGAGCTAAAATAGGTTTTAATTCAGTTTCAGATATTATTCGAAATGAAGGCATCATAAACGATGACTTTAGGTGGCCAAATGTAGCCTTTTTCCTGTCTTTTGTCATATTTAGGGGATTCAGGGTGATTTTACTCAACAAGGACAATTAAGCTGGTCAGAGTTGATAGGAAGATAGAAGGGGTTAAATACAAGAACAAACTTATTTGGGGTTCAAACGACTTGAAACAGGAAGAGAGCGACAATAAAACATACAGTTGGAGCTTCAACAGAAATGTTGATGGGCAATAGTGATCAAGTCAGAGTCAAAACCTGAATTCAATGGAGAATCTGTGGCAAAACTTGGAAATTGATGTTCACAGACGCCCTCCACCCACTCTCACTACAAGTGGGTGAAGAAAAAACTTCAGTCTCTAGATGTCCAGAGAAAGTAGAGACATGCTTTCTCTACCAACAAAGTGTTGACTATTGACTTTGTACGCAGTTTTGTAAACTGGGTGTCAGTTTCCTCCCTTTGGCCTCTAACGTCCTCTAACGTAACGTCCCAATAAAATACATAAAAATGTTTAAGGTTGTAACACGACGAAATGTGAAACAGCGTAGCTGAACGCTTTCATGAGGCACTGTACATCTTTACCTACTGGTCTCTGTGTAATTAGGACTTGGAGTGTAAAACTTACACATGAACACCGTAAACTCAAATCTCTGGACAACCATAATGAATCAATCTCTGACTAGCTGACGTGCAGACACACAGATAGAGGAAGATTAAAGCACCAAGACTAATGGACAGTGAGGGTGGGGAGGACAGGCTTTAGACCGGAGTGTGTAAGCTTTGTGGGTCGATGGAGCTTATGAAGGCTGCTCCGGCCAGCCTGGTGACAGATTAGCCGGGCCAAGCTGCTCTTGGCCAGGGGCCCAAACTTGGCTGGAAGCCCTAAAGACTGAGAGCAATCGATGGGACCACCATCAGTCATGCAGCTGGCCTGGCTGGATACCTCACGTACGCAGGGCACAACGCTGGTGCTGTTGTCGCTGCAGCAGCATGGGTGTTTCTCGGCATCATTAATATAACTGTGGCACAAACGGACCCTAACGTGAGCGCAGAGATGCATCGCAAATGTGGACTGTGTGTCAAATCATACACCAGCGGGGACGAACGCAAAGTATCACCCTTATAGGTTGTGATTTTATGTGTTTTATCCATCACATTTAAACTAATATCGGTGTTCAGTAATTATTCTGAAACCACTACCACTCCGTTCTCCATTTGTCTTGCATTTTAAGTTGTAGGAAGACGTGCAGCCTTAAGTAATATCGACAACACTCCTGCCTCGCCCTTTTATACAACCGATATTGAACCAAACACAATTCTGATCTACAGCTCAGTCAGCCTGCCAAGGAGTTTCTGGACATAAAGTCACCTTCCTAAAATAGTGACCCAAGTTATTTTTTTTGCCCAAGACATCTTATTTAAAACATTACTTAATCTCATACTACATTATGCAGAAGCTCTGTCTGTACTATTAAGATTAAATCATCATAGAATACCTAATGCTTTAAGTGGCTGCAGCAGACAACAGCCTGACCTTTTAGATTAATTTGACCAGAAGTTATTAATGACTGCGATCACTAATAGAAAGTGTATGAAACATTTAACTTTGATTGGACGTCCACGTTACAATTAAATGTGAAAAAACAAGAAAAGAAAATGAGACAAAAGAAATAAGTAACAGACTAAACTGTACACTGCTGATGTCAACACACACAATCTATAAAACATGAAAGCATCAACATACCTCAATATTGTGACAACAGTTGATGTTTCACAAAAAACTCCATATTTTTATCTTTACATTCACTTAAAATGGTTGTTTACATACCCAACACAAGAAGACAAAACATAGGAAACAAGAAAAAAACCTTAAACATGCATGGAAAAATTAGTATGTTGTTTAGAAATATGCATCTCTGTAAAAAAAAAATAAATTAACAAAAATAATAACAAAAAAGATGCAGTGCTTTCAAACCTCAAATAACGCAAAGCAAACAAGTTCATATTCATTTATAAACAACAATACTAATGTTTTAACTCAGGAAGAATTCAGAAATCAATATTTGAAGGAATAACCAGGAGGTTTTCAGTGGGGTTCAGTGGTCAGTGACTTCATTTTTTCCAGAGCTGTATATCAGCAGTGACTGAAAATCAAATGAAAGTTACAAAAGAAGCAATGCATATTCCCTCGTATGGACAATGCTTGTTGTCATTTTCAAATTCAAGTGCCTTAATACAACACTAAATCTCTCATTTGCATTCACCTTCAGCAACTTTCACCATGTCTGGGTGCTCTTCTTTAAAACATGCTAACTGAAGGAGTTATGAAAACTATTCAACTTTTAACAGATGGAGGATTTTTGTGAGTAAGTCTCAACACTAATTTATTATATTTCTGAATATCTGAATAAAAATGATTCAGTTCTGCTGGCAGCTGTGCAGTTTTCCAGCCCTGCATACGTCACCCGTAGACCAGATAACATGTTTGCGTTCGGACTTTTTAACCACCGTTATTCTTCTGACTCAGAGCGCTGTGAGAAGCTTTGTTTTTCATTATGCTGTTACCAATCAACAGTAGAAAATGAAAAGAATTGCAGTCCAAATGTAATTTCACACTTTCAGTCAGGCGGCACCTTGTCCGTACAGCTGCACTTCTGTGCTAATCAGCCCCCAGCTCAGAGGAAACCAAGGTTACCTGCTGTTGAGACTATGGTAATTAGCCAGACTGTCTGTGAACAAAGATTAAAGATGATTCTTTAACATCCCTGATTGTGGTTATGGGAACAAAGAGCTATCACTGCAGTCATTGTTGGTTACAATTTCAGTTGCTGATTAAGTACGGTCTCATGTGTGCAGATGAACATCATGCTGCGTTTCTGCATAAAACAAAACCTCGCAGGATGCAGTTTGTCAGACGTGTTGCTGACAATGCCTTACACGCTATCTATCATGTTCTGAAATAAAGCTACAGCGCTTATGGGCTTATGAATTGGGACCTTAATTAAAGCGAACACTTCTCACAGTCTGTATTGGACCAGGCAAGTTGTCAATGGAGGCAAATGGGAAAAAAAAGAAAAAGAAAGAAAGAAAAAAAAATCCTTCTCCTGTCTCTGTGAGTCTGGATTTAATCCACAGAACAGGATGTGAACAGCTGTGGTGTGACAGCCCTTTCTATCAAACAAATAGTCCCCGTGAAAACTGCTGACAGCACTTTATTTTATTACTAACTTGTCAAATGTTAATACCGAACACAAGTCTGCTGTATGATACCGCTGTGTGTTTTATGCAGGAAACAACAAGTTAATAAAAAAAAAACGGTACAGATTGAGTGCAGCTTCCATTCGAACCATGAAAAGCTTTGGACCGTTTTATATTAACACTAATTATTTCACATCAATATTTTCTCTTTTAATAGTGCCTTAATATGAAATACAAATACAATGTCTCACAAAAAGTTTTCATACCAGCTACACTTATGATGTAAACAGTGACTTATAGAAAATGCTGAGTAATTATGCTGAGATTTGCATAAACATAAGGAAATGTTGCAGAAATCTAATAATCTAATGTTTCCAATCTCTGAAGTCTATTTCTTTAAATGCACAATCAAATTCTGTTCTGCCCTCTTTAATGCAACTATTTCAAACAAAAGTCTCCTATTTTGTGAGTTGGTCATGAAAACCAATAGAGACAGTTGACTGTGGCTTTCCTGCATTTCCATTACCCAAGCTACAATGGGATAGTTTAGTTCAAAGAATATTCCTTTGTAAGAATGTCAAAGTCTTTTACTTTCACCCACAATTATGTACTAGTTTTTGGTTAGCTGGTCGTTTACTCAAAATCCCAGAAAATGACATTAAAAACTATAGCTGTAATGACGAAAGGCATAATTTAGTTGATACTTTTCACTTAAAGGTAAAGTACTGTAGTGGCCAGATTAAGATAAATCATTTAATCTAATCTGGTTAACAGCAGGGATAAGATTTAACTTCTGCTTTAACTATTTTTATACCATGATGAGGAGATTTTCGATAAATGCTTCTCACTTTGAAACTCTTCGTAAAGCACTCGGCATTTTCAGAACGTGTGGCCTGGTCTCAGTCTGGGAACATCTCAAGGTGAAAAAAGGGAATTCAATCTGGAGAAATCAATATTTTTAAATGAGCAAAGGCTCTTATGATAATGCGCGCAGTAAAAGATGTAGTGACAACCCCGGAGAGAATCACCATCATGCCCCTGTGCCTAATCTCAGCTCTGCTAAGTTTTTTAATCACTTTTAATTGATTATTTTTACAGCTTTGCTGCGTTTCGATCACTCGCTGCCGCTGCCCAATTGGAGCTGCCCTCATTAGCAGAAGGGAGATTTTCAGCCAAAAGCTCCACAGTCCCAAAGAGACAAATTTGCTGATAAACTGAAGAACATGGGGGGTGGAGGGAGGGGGAGGCACGAGACGCTAATCAGATAGATATTTCTCTGTGAGTATAGAGGAAACAAATGCAGTGCTTAGGGACTTATTAAATATTCACGACTCTTTCATTCATGTGATTCGAAAAAAAAAAATACAACTCTCTTTAGTTCTTCTCTTTATGTGTGTTGGAGGTGGCCATTATGTTGCACTGGGAAGCCAAAGAGAAAATCTGAAGGTATACTTTAGGGTTCGGTTGTAAAAGGAAAGTTTTAGCAATGAAACTTTGTAAAACTCGCTAAAAACAACCTTCAGCCAATGGAACCAATCGGAGACAGGTTTATTCCAAGTTTCGACACTACAGACTTTCTCTATGTGCACAACCAAGAAAGGCCCCCCTCGACTTATCCACTTTTGTGAGCCGTATCATATTAGGCGCGTTTTGCCACACGCCATGATTTCGTCCTTCAGCAACCTTGTGTCCCCTGCTGAGCTCAGAAAGTTCACACGCAGAAGGAAAAAAAAAAAAAAAAAGCTTCTTGATGCCTGGAGGACATGGGGAAGATCCTTTGAGCACCTGAAACTGAGCCGGAGCTGATCGATTCCTATTCTTTGAGAAGAAAAACAACGTCTTATGTAGATGACCGAGGTTTGAATGGGAAGAAAGGATCCAATTTCTCCCCTGGACTGTGCGGCTGTCAGAAGATAGGCTGTGACTGACAGCTCAGCGGTGCACGGATCCTGCAGCTACTTAAATGACAGCCAGAGAAGTAAACAGCATCAGGCTTATCAGAGCAAAGCAGCAGCTTGGAGGGCAACAGTTTGGCTGAACGGGAGCGACTTAAGGCACAGAAGTGTGCAACGAGCCTGCTAACTGTGCTCCGAGCCACGGCATCTATTCGACCTTGGATGCGTTTCCTTTCCCCTGTGACCCCAGGCATCTAATGGGTGTGTGGAAATGCAGCGAGATGACGGCTGAATTTCAGATGGAGCCAAATGTCACTTCTCTGCCCACTGCTATTTGGGTTCGCTTTGGAAATCAAATCACATTCAGAAGCACAAGCAGCTACTCATGTCCGTGTGATAACATCTTGTGAGAAACGGTTCGCACAGACATGCTGACATCTTGATAGTGGCTGCTTTAAATCAGAAACATGTCATAAGGCTGACTTCTGCTTGTAAGATGTCTTCTGAGGGTCTGTTGCCAAGCAATCAGACGTGTCAGACGCAGCGCCTTGCAAAAATGTTCATATCCGTAGAGCTTTTTGAGCAAACTTGGCTGTGCTTCTATGGATGTTTTTGGGGACTAATAAACACCAAGTGGTGCCTCATGTCGTTTACACCAAATTCTGATTGTACCGTCTAAATATCTCAGCTGAAATCAAGACTCTTAAGATGTTAATCCAATCTGACATTGTCCAAATTTGTCGAATAGGTGTAGATTGTAGCTCTTCCTCTTCTTCAGTCAGAGTCCTTGAATGTTTGAGAAGTTGTGCGTTCAGAGACGGTATTCTGCGTGACAAGTGGTTACTTGAACTACTGTTGACTTTCTATCAGCTGAAATCTAGTTTCCTACTTCTCTCTGACCACACAACTGACACTCACTGAATATTTTAAGACCGTACTCTGCACATCTTAGGACACGGCCATACCACATTTGTAATCTCTTACAGTTGATCCACGCCTATTTGGGGTTCAGTATTTCTGGATTTCTCTTAAAAGTTTTGAAAGAAAATGAAATTTGGGACGCTGAAACACCTAACCACAATGCTACTGGAGATGCTACTGGCTGGCAGCCAATCCAGGAGCTGCATTTATTTAGTTATAGGCACTGATAGACTGTACCCCCCAAAAGCAGAAATAAGGAAGATAGTGGATTTTAGCTTATTAATACCGTCTCTATAAATAGAGACAGTATTAATGTACTGTAAATATTAATACATATAAGGTATATTTGGTGTGTAAGCTGTTACTAAAAGCAGTTTTAGGTCTATTAAAGGGGGTATCAAGTATTTGTAGATCTTAGCTTTTACCTGTTAGCTAATATCAGGGGGTCCACTGTAAATAACATGCGTTGTTTAAACTCTAGCAAGTTGTCTTCACCACACCTCGATACATTAACATATTGGGTAGCTACTCCCTCCTTGATCTTTTATCTGTGTTAACAGGTAATTAAACAGGTGTACCTAACATGGTGGACGTCTGTGTTTGTGATCTTTCTCCACCAGGTCTTACTTATCGTGGCCTTTTCTCCCTGTCTCGCAACTTGGTGAAAATCTTACATTCTCCTGCTGCATCTGCATTCTGCAGCGCATCATACCCAATCTCCATCCATCTGACCAAACACCAGTTATCGCCTTCACACTGCAGAGTTCGCAGCACACGCATCTCTTACCAGTCGAGATGGAAAGAGATACTGTCACAGCTATGTCTGCAAATAGAAAACAGACTACCGTAGTCATGAAGTGTGTTTTCCTCCGCTGAGAGAGTTGCTTAGGGCAGTAATGCAATACGTCTACGGCTTCCAATGTATTTATGACACATCACATCCTCCCCCTGTGGAGTCGGCAAGATGACAAAAGACGGCAAGCTGAGAGGGGACATGTGCATCTGTAAGCCAGAATATGTACATTGCGTGTCACTTTGTGTGCTTCTTAAGAGAGCGAGTGTGTCGTCGCCTTTGTATGTTCCAGGCTCTTGTTTGGCAACGAGACAAGGAGACGGTGTCACGGCAAGATGGATGAGATATGCACGGGGAAGGGCTGAGAGATTAAAAGGAAGCAGCCTGAGAGGCAGACGGCGCCGCCTCTGTGAGAGTCCCTCACCTGCTGTCCTCCTGGTTGATGCTCATGTACATTTCCCAGGTAGTGTCTTCCGCGATCCCCCCGTGAGGCACCAGCAGACTGATACCTGCAGAGAAAAAAGGCACGCGAGAGCTGATCAGCAGGCAGCCGGCCGCGCACACACGTGGCACACACCTGCTCAGCTGTCAGGCCTCTTTACCGAGGGTGACAGCCAGCGGGGTGACGGCCCCAGAACGAGGTGACAGGAGAGAGTCTCAGAGGCCTTGTGAAACCCAGCGCTGCCAAGACTGCCTCTGTCGCAAGCAGACACACTTACACGCCGCATCTTTCTTAAACGCGTCCTCGCAAAAGCGTCGGCAGCGTTGTTTGGTATCGTAAACCAATTGCTACCAGTCTGGGGAGCGGATGAAGCTCCTGGAGGAACAGAATGATGAATGTTTGCCACGACTAAGTAGAAGTTCACACATTTCTTCATAGTGTTAATTATATGCTTTCAAGTACTGAATTAGGGGCAGTAATTCATATATATTTAGCTAAAGATGTTCTATATACAGCACAAGGCTGCTGCAGTTAGAAAAAAGTACCTTAATGTATTTTATTTGATTTTATGGAAGAAAACAAAAGAGTGGAAGGAAAAGTGGTCATATTCAATAAATTAGAGTATTTGTCCCAATAAGTCTCATTTGTCAGATTAAAAGTACATTTTAAAAGTAAAAACCTTTAAGTAGGAAGTAAACATGCTTTTTTGTTAGACCCACATTTTTTTGTTTTTTAAAGATAGTTTATTTTATTGATTTGGTATAATGTCCTAATTTTAAATGGCATGTTTCTTGTGATAAAAGGACTTTTAAATTATATTCTAATTTATTGAATGGGCCAGTATACGCCATACCTGTTGAGCTGATGCTTTTTATCAGCTGGGACATGTAAGCTGGTCAGCGTTCATATGGATAGAGCTAAATACAGAGTAAGTACTGGAGGAAACCCTTTTAGAAGCTACGAAAGACTTGAGAATGGGTTGGATGGTCGTTTTTAAACAGGAAACGAATGCTATACATTCAGCCGTAGCATATTGATGCATCAGAATGTTATTCCAGCTTTCCAATCAAAATTCCACATCTTGTGTTTTTAGACAGCAAATTGGTCCACTTAACATTTTCACATTAACCCTTTCATGCATAGTGGTCATTTTCTTGTGCTTCTTGTGGATTTTTATGTTATAAATGCACACAGACCACTGAAGTGGACACTAATGCATCATAAAATACACCATCAATTACTGGCCGTCAGCTGCAAATGCAAGAAATTATTTTTGTTACATCCAATATGGCCGACAGACACAAAAGCATGCCGACCGACCCGGTCCCTCCTTCTACTGCAGACGACCCTGACAGGTAAAAAAAAAAAAAAATATATATATATATATATATATATATATATTGATCACAAAACCCCTAAAGAACAATACTACTGATGTATTTTTCAAATAACTTTGTATTTGGAGAAAATTACAATTGATCACCTAAAAAAATTAAAAACAAAAAATAAAATAAATAAAAAATTACATTTTTTTTCCTTCCTTCTTTTTATGCCTTAAGAAAATAAAAAAAAAATTGGAAAAAAATCCTGACAAAGGATCATAATTAATGCATGAAAAACAAAAAACAAAACCACACATACTTTTCCTTCCATTTTACTGTCATCCACTGTTTTGTGTTAGATTACAACATAAAAACCAACCTCAATTTGCAAATTGAAAAATGATGGTGGTTTTGTAGATGACCAAAACCAAAACTTTAATCTTCTGCCACATTCACCTTCACCTACAGAAACCCGAGTTCACGCTCCCAGGAGGGTCGCATCAGATCAAATTGCCTCACAGTTGGCTCACCTGTGTTGGGCACCACCAGCCTGCCTCCAGCATGGCCAAACACCGCCGTTGCTTTGTGCAGAGGCCTGCTGAGCGTCTGAAAGACCCGCGGAGTGAAAAGGTTTTTGCCTCTCCTGCCCAGCGTTGTCCCTACTGCAACCCCTCTGTAGTCTGGAGCCAAACCCCGTGGAAATGTCTGAGGGTGGGACATGACGTGGTACTCTGCCCTTTCTGTCGCCCCTGTGGAAACAATGAACGCTTTGAAATTTTGCTTTCTGTAAACTTATGACCTCTGACGTCTCGTCAGTACAGCTGTTCAACCCGAACAAAAGGCGAGCGGCGCTCAGTAAGCAGCTTTGTTTACATTTATGACACGCTCGTAGTAAAGTGATTCGCCCTCTGACTGCTCACTAAAGCTAATCCTGAAAGAGCAGCCAGCCTGCCTCTGCCAAGGATTTTGCCTCCAGCTGAAACAACGAGCCTGAGGGAAGAGCAACACTTTGCATCCAGAGAACCAGCAAAGTAGAGTCTTTACACTGCAGATTCTATGTAAAAGGTGATTTTTACATCCTTCACGTCTAAGTTTCAGCATTTAGCAGTGGCTGTTTTTCTCTCTTGTGTCACACTAATACGTTTCAGATCGTCAAACAAATGGGCTTTTTAAATTTGCATTTGTTGGGTAAGAAAAGCTTTCCAAACTAACCAGACTCTAAGTAAAAAGCATGTCACACACACACTCCACGGATGTGACAGGCCTTGATGTTTCGCAAAGTAAAATTCATTTCTTAACATTCACAGACACGCAACACATCTATGTTATGTGTGTCAACATAAGGTTGGAGATTTAAAAGAGTGTGACAGCTGCTTCGGTTTCTCAGCCGCTGTTGTTGCTGGTGGCACAAATCCATAGAAAAACAGGGCAGATTTTCAAGATCGGCCATGTTGTGGTTTTCTGATAAAGGATGTTGCTCCGAGGAACTTTGCAAGACGGAAAAACTTTGTCAACTCATCAAACATCCACATCTGTTTTGTTCTTAGTCTTGTTTTGTACTTTCCTTTTGACATCGTTGAAGTTACCGACGAGGTCAATATCAATTCTGTTTATTTAATAATGTCAATGAATCTTTATTTGGAAGCTCAAATTATTTTTTTAAGCATCTAATCCAAATATACTTAAATATATTTAAAACTCGGTCCACTGAACGGAAGAGCTCCAGACCAGCAGGGGGAGTCGATCACTATGCCCTCAGGATTGATTTCCTCAATGTCCAGGAGAAAGTTGGAGAAAGGATGAAAAGGTGTTATACTTGTGTTTTTAATGACATAGTCTTTTATAATACTATAGAGCAACAAAATAAATACATAAATAATAGTATCTACTCCAGACTCCCCCTAGTGGCATGGAGAACTTCTGTTTTTGTGAAGCTTTATTTGCAGCTTTTCTTACTTTCTGTTTTTGCTATGTGTGGGTATTTATCTGTGATTGCAGCATTTGGTTTGCATTTGTCTTGTAGATTTTAGGTTTTCGCTTCTATTTTTTTCTAATTGCAAAATTTCTTGTTTGCAGTACATTCTGCTGTTTGCACCTGGGAGCCATTGTACAAAAATCCAGCATAATGCTCAAACTGGTATTTTTTAGGACTAAAGTTAAAACTTGTTTTTAATTACTTAAGTAGGAGCAGCATTCCTCCATAATAATGCTGCTTAAGTAAAAGGTGTAATAAAATCACTCCTAGATGTACTTTTTCCCCCGAAATGGTTACTCATGTAAAAGTAACTAGTTACTACCTTCGACTGAGAGCAGATAAATGATCCATATAAACAAAAGACCCTAATGTCAGCCCTTGTGTCAGAAGTCTTTATAGACAGAGAAATTGCCTGACAGTGAAACCCAAGGTTTATGAAACTGATATGTGACTGGGGTTATTTTTATTTTATTTTTTTGTGGTACACAACTTGTGACCAGTCAAGCATTTCTATCTGCAGAGTCGAGGTTTCTCAACCTGGCCCAGCCGATACTTCCAAATGCTTGTGGCTGAGCTGCTGCGGGTCATGAAATTGCAAGTATTTGAGAAATAAATTGGAGGTCACGTATTTTAATACCAGTTTTCTGGGCAGCGGTTTTGATGTGTGAGCTCCCGGGCCAGGTACCGCATGTTTTCTTGTTCGGTCATTATGTGCCTCGGCTGTTGCGGAGTGCAATTTATGTCTACTTGTTTACACCGACGTCAAAAGGGTAACATCCCACATAAGACAAAGACAGAGTGGAGTCACGCTGCTCAATCTGCCCTCAAAAATTGTCTCAATAGAAGAGATCAGGTAGAAAGAGAGCAGTACAGTGGCTCTGTGTTATGTTGTTTTCTGACAAAGGAACAGCCACGGGAAATAGCAAGCCAGTCATTGAAGAATTATGCGCTTTTAAATCTCAGGGCGTCATAAAAGCGGTCTGGTTATTATTAGGTCCTAACATTATTTAAACTGACCTCAGGTCTGCAGAAAATAATATTAGGCCAGAAGAAAGAAACTGTCAGAATTTAAGTCCAGCTTTGCTGCTTTCATAGGAGGTAAGAGGCAGAGTAGCAGGAACATGCTGCTGCTGAAAGCACATGATTAACACATCAGCAGTCAGGTCTACCCTGGAAAACCAGACCTGTTGGCTGCATCTTGGTCTGAAGAATGCCAATATGTTTTACCAAAGGCATAAGTGATTCAGATGAATTCAATTTTGTTTACACCACACATATCATTTCAGGACGCTTTACTGAGCGAAATGTCACAACGGACTGTGACTCTGAAAGCGTCTTAACAGCAGCAGCTTCTCTTTTACTGGTTTCATCCAGGAGAGAAACACGGCTAAACAGACAAGTTATGAGCCTGTAGGATGAAAAACAGAGTAGAGAGCTTAGCTGGTAACAGAAGCAGCTCAGAGACTAATGAAAGCAATTGTATCTCCCTATATAAAGTGCCACATGGCTGTTTTCAAACAATTAAAAGCCCGTCATTCTGCAGCGAGGAACATTAGGAACAGTTACAGAAGCATCAATAAAATAGATTCCTAAGGTCAGACTGTAAAATGTTTAGAAAACCAACCAGGTTCATATCAGACTCCACAGACTTGGCTTTTAAAATCTTATTGCTTATGGATCAAAACAGCTTTACAAAATATGGCTCATCTGTAATATTGCGGTTCATATCTGTGGTAGGCAAACAAATAATTGATGTCAATCTAACCTGTAATGCACTGTACTGCTGGAGAGCAAATCACATTTTTCAACACAAACTAACTATTGAACATGGGCACCTTCAGTCTCTCATAAACTCCTCTGTACACCAAGTTATTCTAAAAGTACGCAGCTGGTTCATCATTAGGGACACAATCTCCTACACAGAAGCAATTCTGCCACAACACGACCGAAAAAAGTGGAATCAGTGTGACCCAACGGCCCAGTCAAAGTACTAGATCTCAACTTGATCTGAACTTAAGAGCCTTGCAGAAAGAATTGCATGCAGTACCTAAAGAACTGAAGCAATGTTGCAAAAGATTCCACATAAAAGCCTACAGAAAATGGCCACACCAATTTACTGCTGCTAAAGGAGTTTCTACAAGTTGTTAGTTTTTCACACGTAGCATAGTGTTTTTTTTTTACTGTTTTGTTTCAAAGATATTGAGTGGAATTGGCTGTGTGATTTGGTATGCTCAAGGTTACATCTAAGCAATTTTAAAACCTTGTAAAGAACAGAAGCTGTGGTGCTGAAACAGAGTGTGCTTCCTTTTCTTAGATATTTAGAACTTCAAGAAATTAGCTTGAACTTGTTAAAAAGGGTGCAACATACCTCCTTTATGTTCAGTTAAGCTCAACTATTTAAAAGATGGAAGAAAAAAAAAAGACTGTGAGGTAGAAGTGTTACTGTTAAATGTGTAAGAAAAGGAGGCGTGAGTGTTTTATTAAGAATCCGTCTGCAAATGTTTCTTGAAGGTGGAGAGAGAGAGACTGACAGAATTTGGCAGCTCGTTCCACCAACAGGGAACCGCAAATGAGAACAGTCTGTGCTCAGACTGCTTCGTGTTTAGAGTCGGGGATTACCTGAGAGGAGCACGCCGTCATCTTTCAAAGATTTCAATAATTTCCCTATTCAATCTCAACTCATCTTAATGTTTCTTTTCAGAATTTTGCAAAAAAGGGAAATTTAGTAACGTCAGAAGATCCCCTGCAGGGAGAATATAAAGTATGACCATGAATCTCGTAGTACGCCTCGTCTAAACGAGTCATTAAAAACAAACAAAAACATGTAATTTCTCATTTTTTGTTGAACACGTGTCGTCAAATAAAGCTTTTTTTATATGCAAGTGTAAAATACATTAAAAGCATATTAAAGTGTTTCTAGGATGATGCGACTTTTTTTTTTTTTTGCGATTGTTGCGGCCTAAAATTACTTACTTTTTCAAAAAGTAGCAAGTTTTTTAAACTTTATTTTTGCCATAACCTGGTAGTTGACAAAAAAGTTTACATTGCTGCACATAACCTCTGCAAGAAAGACCTTTGACAATTTCAACATAGTTGATATTTAAAGTGAAAATAACATTTCCATGTACGTTCTTGAAATAGCTCTTAATACAAATAAAATGATGTCACAAAGAGTTGTCAAAGTGCAAAAAGAAAAAATACATATTGATCAAGTTGACAAGACGGAAAGATTCAAAATGGTTACTGCAAAAAAAAAAATTAAAAAGGCAAATGTTACTGTTTAGCATCTGTTTGGCTTTCAAGACACATCGTGAAACAGGAAGTTGAGTTGAGAAGAGGGCTAATGGGATTGGTTAAAATTCACTCAAGTTGCAGTGACTGATCAGAAAAGAGCGAAATACAGAAAACGTTAAGGGGACTGGTCAGAATTAAGGAAAAGGTGCAATGATTGCAAGTCTGAATGATGACTGAATTTGCATTAATAGTGGTGATTGCAACGTCGCAACTTCCTGGAGAGACTGATGTTAGCACTAACACATCGGAGAACACGGACTGGAGAATCAGGTTGTTTTGGATGAAAAGTTTCTTTAGAGACAAAATAAAATGTATTCAAAGAAAGGAGAATAAATCTCCTACTAGTGGTCGAGTTTTCTAACCTTTCGCCTTCAGATCGGGCAGCGGGTCGAGGAGTGAGTGCTCGGCCATTAACTCCTTGTCAATGGAGTCCTGGAAACATATGGGGCTGGTATATGTACGGGACACTGTGAGATCCGGCTGCATGGATGAGTTCATGAGCAGGGGGTTTGCTGAAACACACACAAAGAAAGAGTGAATTATGGACAGCAGCTAGATTTCTTTTAAAGACATTTCAACACATTGACTCTTTAGACAAGAGGGTTGTTATTACCAACTTATATAACCAGAGTGCATATCAATAAAATGTTTCTTTTTCTCATTGTGTGGAAATGACCATCATTTCTTCACTCTGGAACCAAGAATGTCATGCATTTACAGAAATAATGTCCTGCTTAGCAACGACAAACACGAGCAGTAGGCGGTGTTATCTGATAATCAACTTTCAAAACAGCTACAAAAACTTATATCTTTGCATTTAAATGGTAATAATGTCAGGGCATAAAGGAGAGGACACCTCCACTGAAAGATGCACCGACTTCCTCCAGCCAATATCAACAACACAAGGAAACACATGATTGTGAAATGAAAGGGAAGTGCATGTTGTCTTTATATCCGCTTCAAATAAAAGATGAGGAGGGCATTTATATTTGAAATGTCTGTTGTTCAGCGGGATTCATAATTTCCAAACAGAGGAACTCTGGCACAGCGGCAGAGAAACCCTGTGACCATCACAGAGAGCTGTTTAAATGCTTTCATCAGTGACAATAAAACCATAAGTGATACACATGGATGGTCAATGAATCGTACAATGGACCGGTAGAACGTAGCTCCAAACTTTCTTGGACGTTTCGTCTAGTCACAGATGTTTCTGATAGAGCACATCAAATTTTCAGTGGAAAAAATGCAACGTGGGAGGCGCAATGCTACTTGACAAAGCTACTGGCGAGCATTGGCAAAGCAGTCAGTCCAAGAGTTGATCGGCGTTGATCGGCTGCATCCCCAAAACCATTTTTAGAGAGAGTCTCAAGTATTTACAGTCTTTAGCTCATCACAGACGACTGTGGTCCTTAACTCCCATGAATACCACAAGTCTTAACTTGCACAAGTTAAGGCAATTAGCTTAAGAGATGCTGTTGCAGCATCTAACCTGTGATCTTCTATGGTGGCAGAATCATGTCAAAGTGTTGAGAGTGTAAATGAGATTCTGTGGAAGAAAATATCATTTCAGAGAAAGGGCATTAAGTGAGCATAACATATAAAATTAGACTAAATGTTTTTAGCTGTAAAGTGAAATGTTTAGTGGGTATGAACACCTTCACAAATAACGTTGTGACTTAATACTTTCACAGAAAAGTCTGTTCAAATAGTGCATAAAAGACGGGATTGTCTGCGAAAAAGAAATTGGATTCTTTTTTATTTGACAGATTTGATAAAATAATATTTTATTTCATATAAAATGACAACAGAAGAAACGGGACTGAAGAAAGAAATAAGATTTCAGACACAAGCTCAGCAAAGTTTATGTCGGTGTAAGATGTTCGACCGACTCTGGAAAGAAAAAACGAAAAAAAAAAAAAAACTGTAACTGATTGCTGTGATTTTACTTGTAGCAGCATATAACTGAGTGGCATATCAGGAGGGGAGCACATGCAGAATATTATGAGGGTTCAAACACAAGAAGCAGAGACCAAGATTAAAGCCTTCCCTGCCACCTGTGGTGTTATTAAAATGAACTTTGTTATGCCTGGCTGAGGGCTCCTGCTGCGGCCAACTATAATGCCTGTCTGGGAAAAAAAAATACACAGACAAAGCTAGAACACTCTAATGTTTTCTTGCATTTGCTGCATGAACGTTTCATCCCTGAACTTCACAAAAAAAACAAAAAAAAAAGAAATTGGAAACACTAATAAATTGAATTTCTAATCCCGCTACAATGAATAATTGATTCAGGGATTGTTGAACGCAGGACGATAAGTTCAAAAAAAGCTCCATACTCTAAACATAAGCCTTTTATCTACCATGTTGATTAATGCACTCCGCGGTAGGAGGACAAATATCTAAGTAATAATAGATAAGAGTGAAATTACACAGATTCTTTATATGTTTTACCATTTGTTTTCAACAAAGTTTTATGAGTCTGGCCGCGGCGTTGTTTCCAATAAGATTCAAAATGCCCTGCATGTTTTATGGATTAAGCCACATTATATCAGTCACTTTTACTCCGACTCAGACATTAAGAATCTCCAGTAAACAAACTAAAAAATTAAAAACCGTCAGTCTCATCCCAGCTCCTAAAGCATTTTAATAATTGATGCCCATTAGTTATGTCATAACACAAAGAAATGAATGCATAATTCATGACATTACATGAATGCATACACTGTATGGACTGTGTGGATGTTGCTTTCATTCAGAAACATTAGCATCAATATTCCAGCACTTTTTATGGTTTTCAAATTAAAATAAATACCAACAAGAAAAGGACAACATGCTTCATCCTTTGCTAAAATAATCTCTGCTTCACTGTTAATCTTTGGGAAAGTAAAGAGCTAGTGATGGTTTGTGTTTTGTGTTTGTTTCTTACAAAGCCAATCTGCAAGAGTGACATTTTTCTGTCTTTTCTCTCTCAACTTTTGTGTTCTTCTGGTATTTGAAGGGAAATGACATTTTTTATAATGTCTATGCAGCCAAAGAGTGACATTCAGAATGCAATATGCTCTCACTGTATTTATAAGGAACAAAACAGATTTGATTGGAGGGTTTTTTTTTTTTTTTGCTTGTGGCTCATTCAAACCATAAAACCAGCTAGCATGCTAGATGGCTGCATGGATTTTATTTTTATGCATCATATGGCGAAGTCACAAAACATAATTTTGATGATACCAACAATTTACAGCTTTTTTTCCCCACCTATATTCCTTTTTTACTCTCCTGATTTCTGAAAAGTAGGAAACCAACTGCATTTGGTTTCAAGTCTCATAGGAAAGTTAAACCTTACATGCTGGAGCACAGAGCCTCGGAAATTATTTGTATTGTCATTAATTATTTCATGATGATCAGTGTAAATAGAGCATTTTTTCAAATGAAGTGACCTAAACAACCTGGCCGTATACAAAAAGTAATCACGCCTAAATATGACAACTAGTGTGTCACCCTTGGTGGCAAATGGTGACATCAACCATTTGTGATAATTGGCAATGAGTTTTGTACATATCTATGGAGGAGTTAGGTAGAATCAGCCATACAGACGACTGTTCAAAGTCATGCCTCAGCCTTTATCATAAAATCTTAGAGTGTACTTTGACTAGGCCCCTCTAGACAGTTTTTTTTCCCATTTAATATGCTTCTGATCTTCATCCTGCTGCATTACCTAAGAAGGTTTGAGCTTAAAAAAATGACATCCAGAAGTTCAACTACAGGATTTTTTGATAAGAAATAAATTTATGGTTTCATCAATTACTGCAAGTTGTCCAGGTTGTGGTTAACTAGACCAGAATCAGTTGACCAGCGTAATACCCATAATGTTTTTTATCTGGAACTCTGTTAGTTTTTGAAACATATGCATCCTGTTACTAACACTTTTGTCTCGTCAGTACGCTGAATATTTCTGCAAAGGTCTTATTTAGGAAAAATAAATAAGACCTGAGTCAGGCGGAGCATTTATAAAACTACCAGGACATCATCCATCCATCCATCCATCCATCCATCCATCCATCCATCCATCCATCCATCCATCCATCCATCCATCCATCCATCCATCCATCCATCCATCCACACTCCCTCCCTCAGTGGGGTCAGGAGGGTTTCTGGTGCCTATCTCCAGCTAACGTTCCGGGCAAGAGGCGGGGTCACCCTGGACAGGTCGCCAGTCTGTCGCAGGGCAACACAAAGACACACAGGACAAATAACCATGCACACACACACCTAGGGACAATTTGGTTTTTGGACTGTGGGAGGAAACCGGAGTACCCGGAGAAAACCCACACATGCACAGGGAGAACATGCAAACTCCATGCAGAAAGACCGGGGCCGGGAATCGAACCCAGAACCCAGAACAGCTCTATCAACTGCGCCACTGTGCAGCCCGGTTTGATACTTATTTTAAGTGGCTATAAAAAAATCTAACAGGTTTTAAAGTGTTAGTTTGGCATACATCATGTAAACTGGTTCACACTCAGAAGTTTGCATGTTTAGTTCTGGGAAAGCAAGTTGGAATTAGCAGGTAAGATCTAAAACAAAGCTGGAAAACAATCTGAAGTCTCGCAGGTGAAGGTTTAGTTTGAGCTGACTTATCCCTGCGAGACTCGCTCACTGGCTTACCTTGACGAGACGTCTTGAAGCTGAAAGACTGGAAGCCCCCAGTGAGGGCAGAGGAGTCGATGACATCGACCCCGTACTCACTTTGGCTCCGCCGATACAGAGTGACGGCGACGATCAGCAGCACCACGGTCACCACTCCCGCAGCCAAGCCTGAGTACAGGGCCACATCACTGGTTCTTTCCACTCCTTTGAAGGTTAGAAGGGAAAAGTTAGACTTTCTGTCACAGTCTGGGAAATGTTATTGTGTCTAATTAGGACACAAGAAGCAGCTTCTTCCCTTAGAAGCCCAAGAATCCGTGTTGTTAAAGAATATTAAAGTTGTGGAAGTCGGCGGGAGGCAAATCTACCTCTGTTCCAAACTACATGAGAGCCTTTTTGTTTTCTATCCATTGCCTGCCTCCTGATACACAATTTTATTGTTCCTTTCTGCAGAGTTAAGACTACTAATGAGGAACCTCGGAAGGAAGGCGATTATAATCAACCCAACACCTGACTGTCATTTCAAACACCGCTTGGCTCTGGTGTTGGAGGCTCTCTGCTTTCCACTGGGATAATGTGACAAAACCAATTCATTAAATTAGCTCATCGGCGACGATTACACTCTATCTGCTCCCGCCAGTATTGCGGCGTCCAACTCCACAAAGAGAAAGAGCGAGAGGAAAACAGAAGCTGCTAGCTTGTTCTTGAAAGATAATGAGATCTGTGCTAAAAACAGGACATGCTGAGAAATCCTCTAAGTAGCCTGAAGCTCAAAGGGAAGAAAATTGACAAAATATGCAAAGCGGTATTAGCAGCTATAGTGGCAGGTTAATTGAGGGCTCAGGAAAGTTACGGAAGCCTGAATGCATTTTTCTTACCGTTGGTGACAAATGGAAATACTGATTGTTGTTAAAGGACAAGTAAGGAGAACACGAGCTTCTGGCTCCGTATGGATCAAAATGACACTGCAGCAAATTCCTCATTTCCCTAAACAGCAATTAAGCATAAACCAGTGACTTTGCAGTGGATATCCACTGACAGGTGTGACCTGGGACGCCAAACCGGATGAAGTCAAAATTATGAGACTTATTAGAGGGGAGCTACGTATTGATACAAGATGCTTTAAATGCTGCTTTTAACAGGAGCCTGCTTAGTTATCTTAGAACAGTATAGGTGCTAAATTCAGATAGTGATAAGAGATTGCACTGGGACATGAGATGCTCCTCTGCAGAAGAAAGCTCAATCAGCTGTTATTGATTCCTTGGGGGAAAAATATATGTGACTTAAAATGTCTGCATGTGTTATATAAATGGTCATCAATACTGCAGCAAATTCCAGCATGTGTTATTTCTTTTTAATAACATTGAGAAGAAAAATTACAACAATAACGTAAAAATGAGAAATATGATAAAGTGTTTTAACATGTTTGAAATTGAGATATTGTACTACTGCCCACTGTCAGAGATTTTTTGCATCTTAGAAAAAAAATTAAAAAAAGCTATTAATATTAAAATCTATCATAATGCACAAGCAGAAACAACTTTGACTTTGTTTCTGCCTAATAATGACAGTGAATGATGATGATTACATATTGAAAATATTAAGATTAGAGAGTGCAGGGCTTATTGCTTCATTAAGTGTCTTATATGAGGAAATAATAAAAGACTAAGTGCATCTGTGAACAGATGTACAAGCTCAGCTTCTACCTCTTCATTTTTCAAGTGTCGCACAAAAAACCCCTCAAGTTATCCATGAACCCTTCGTCCTCCGCCTACTACTGAGAAACAACTGGGACATCGCACCCCGTCCACATTTAGGATTAAGAGCAAAGACTGATGACAATGGGTAAAATTGGATTAAGTCTTATTAATGATTACATATGGTCCAAAAAAAAAAAAGTCATGATGACAGTAATTTCCCAGCCAACTAAAACTGCTGCTCGCCATAATCCCAGTAGGATCAAGAAGCAGTATGGCAGGGATCCAATGTTGAGTCTTTTGAATAGATTTATGGATGATTATAGCTTAGCAATATTGTAAAAAAACAAAATCAAAACAAAATTATGTCTTACATTTGGAGCAAGAAAAATAATAGCTCCACCTCAGCATTTAGTGCTGTTTCACATCATTCTAAAGCACACGTTATGTGTGGATGTCTATATTTTTTAAAGAATAGACCAACTATACAAAATACCTACACATAACTACTAAATGCACCATTTAAAATAACTGAAATCAACATGGAAAATATGTTAAAGCTGTGGTTCTCAAGAATATTATGCTGAGAAATGTCCAAACAGTACTACAACAGGCTGTATTGGTTTATTGAAAGAAAAAAAAAGAACCAAAAGTTCCTCTAACGGTGTCAAGATTTCCCTTTTCCTGCCCTGATTTCCACTGTAAAAACGATGCCCCTCTGTACAGTCCCACAGGCGAAACCTTCCCCGATAAAAGAGTAATCTCCAGTCCTCTATTGTCAATCCACAGAGGATTCAAGTCGATGGAGGTCCAAGACTCTAAGGAGGATCGACTTGGAGTCTCCAGTCTGCCTGGTAACTCTCCATTTCCTGATTGTGCAATACTTCCTGTTCAGATCAACCCATCTCCTTTACAGAGTCTGACCTGAACGTCAATCCCGGTGTGAAACTTCTGATCAAATATTACATTTAGATTATTGTCAATAAAATTCACTCAGACTTTTCTGTGGACTAAATTTTGGGTCAGATTTGAACTAGAACTTTTACAGCAGAGAGAAAAACAAACATTTCTGAACAACCCTGACCTCAAAATGTGAAATCACTGTCCTGAGTTAGAAATAAAGAGATAGTTGCAGTAATGAGACTTGCATTTGCACTTCTGGCAGTCTGTATTATAATAACTCTTCACACATAAGAAAAATTGGTAACTTTATGCCTCACTAGGATGTGAATGCAGAAAAACAAATTACCATTAGCTTGTGATGCTCGGGGTTGTTGCCCTGGCAATTCAGGAAAAAAAAAAACTGGCAAATGTGACAGTTTTTTTTTTATTGCATCCTGAAGTTGTTGAAACTTTGTACATATAATATTTCTTGATTCAGATTCTGACATCAGAAGTAAACAGAACAGAGCGTAAGCAGAAACAGGAACTTTTTAAAATGCTCTTCTAGATCTATTTTTTAAAGCTCAATCTGTTTGAACTAATCTTTATTTGGCTGATTTGCTTTATTAGCTGAATATTCCAGTTAATTGGCCGTTTCTCTACAATGTGAATAAGTGATTCCAACATTTCCTCTGAGGTTCAGTGAAAGCAGTCCAATCACCACCAGTCTTCTTTTGTAATCCAATACAATGTTAACGACGATCAATGATTTCAGTCTCTAAATGAATCAGTTAAAAGGATGCGCTTACTGCATGCAGGTGTGTGTTTGTGCTGAGGATTTAACTACACTCACCCGCTCAGGTATTTATTTAAGCCCTTTTAGACCATCGTCACAGCTTGATGCTGCTCAATGGATATTTGCTTCATATCAGAAATCATATTGGAAATCAAACTTCCTGACCAGTTAGTGGTCAGAGGTAAGCCTTAATTATATTTTGAATGCCTAAAAGAAAACGTAATTTCAGACAGTAATCCATTAACATCAGATCAAAATACTCTAATCTGACAGAGACATTTTTTGTCAGTGAGTGGAGTTGAAGTTAGAAGTTTTACATTTATTACAAAGTTTGGATGACATGAGGGAAAAACTCACCCTGTGGCTTTGCGTCATGGAGCAACTTCCGATCTGCAGGCAGACAAACATTCACTTCAGAGTTTGCAGTCGGTTCACTCAGGCGCTGCTTGTGCATGCGTCCCTGCCTGAACACACTGTGCTTAATGTAAGTCAAGTGGATGAATAATGAAGACGGATGAGGGTGTTGGTAATGAGCATGATTATAATGATGATCATGATCCAGCCTGCTCTGCCAAAGATGATAAACATTTAATGTATAATGACACAGTCTTTAAGCATCATGCTTACAGACAGTAATGATCCCCAACTGCCTTTTTTTTTTTTACTTCTTAAGCAGATGACGTTACCCACTCTGAGTGCAGAGGCCGCCTGTGCAGTTTTCCGCTGCCGAAGCCGCGCCGTCGCAGAGCCGTCCTCCGTGTTTGGGCTCCGGAGCCGTGCACTCTCTGCCGCGCTGCCTGTCGCAGTCAGGACTACACACAGACCACTCGCTCCACTCCCCCCAGCCTCCGTCGACTGAGCGATAAAACACAGGCAGGAAAGAAAAAAATATGCATCTCATTAGCATAAGGAATTGACAGGGAACAGACGAGCAAACACAAACGCAACGCACAGAAGAATAAAGCCGTGTTTTTCCTCTCGTGAGTACAGATTCTACTCCAAGTTGACTCTCTCTCAAAAGTTGTTTGATTCTTTAAGGGAAACACTTTTAAAGCAACCGCTGCGGCTCCTTCCACGGCCTGTCAAGATGCTTTCGGAGTCTTCTTGACTCGGAGCACAGAGACTCTGTTTGTGCCATATCCAATCAAGTCTCCTTCCCGCCTCCAAATGTTCTGTAAGCGCCCTTCCTCCCGCTGATCTCATGAACCCTTTTTATGTCTCCAGACATGAGAAAGAATTCCTCCCCAGAGTGAGAGCGCTGGCTTCCCTGATAGCCAGTTTTATTGAATGTGATAGATGTTTTCTTCAGGCCGTACAGTGGTTGAAATCATACAGTTTGGGATTTATTCAAACGCGTCAGCAGAGCAGATGAAGGATTAGTTGCAGAAGTCGGAAGACGTCTCGTTCGTTTTCACAAATTAGACTGAAACCGGCTGTTCTGCTGTTCCGGCCAGTCGTCTGTGTTTTCCAGGTTCGTTGATTTTAATTGTGTTTTCGGTTTCAGACTCAGGCGAATTAAGTTCAGGTCAAAAGCCGTCCAAAGATTTTTAAACTCCCATCATATTGTGTGAGATGGTACTTCTCTTTGTTTGCTTTTACTGCACTGAACAAAGAGAATGGAGTGCCAACTTAAAAATATTGTGTTAATTGGTCATAAGTGATATAAAGAAGTTTGTCAAACTCACCTTATTTACGCATGTTTGACTTTAACAACTAAAATGAACTAAAATAAACTTATTTTGATTACTTGTGATTAAAATAAACATATTTAAATATGCTGGGTTACTTGGTCTCCTTTTTCAGTGTAATGAAACCATCTTGCCTTTAAGGACGTGTTAAAACTGTAAATTGTTTAATTCACAGCCCAAAAAGTAGCATTTAATAAATAAGTTTAAGACTTTTTTTGTTTAATTTCTTTAGGCAAGGAAGAAATAAATACATCACATTTCACACATTTAAAAAGAATATTTAAAGTTTTTCTTTGCTTCACGATGCCCTACCAAATGTTTTTCTTCCACAAAATTTTTTATTTATATGCTTTGATAGAGCACACACTGCACAGTTTCTTTGGCAAAGACTTTTTGTGCAAGTAAATGTTTGATTGTGCAGCCCATAAAATTACCATAACACAATCTTTTTGTATTACAAATGATTTTTCCCAAAGCATAACATTACCATTTTCTAAGATTTTGGGCTTTCATTAGTATAATAATAAGCTTCACACCAATAAGTGTGTTGAAGTACATCACTATGTGTAATGCATTTATATATTACAGGTTTGCTTTTTTAATTTTTAATTTTTTAAAACAATAAACCTTTCAGTTATAGTTTAATTTATTAAGATGCACCTGTGAGAAGCTCATTTGGTGCAACTCTGGACAGATGTAACAGTGTGAACAGTGAGGATCGACCAGAAACATTTAAGCAAAAGTATTTTCAACCTTCATGTTAACGTAGCTCAAAATGTCACTGTAAATAGTTTCAATCACTTTAAAGCTTTAAATGTTGTTTACTGTGTCTATTTATTCTTGTCCTTTAAGCTCATCTACCTTCCATTAGCATACATGGCAACATCATATTAAAAACTAGGACATTTTGATGACTTTTACCTTTTCTTTGAAAACTTTCAGTCGAGGAACTTTTTGCTTCTCGGTTCTGTTTGATCACAGACGTCCCTGGGCAGAAGAGCTGAGCCTAATTCAATCATGTTGGCTGATAAATAACTCCAGGCAAATGCCAAAGTTGGAGTCCGAAAAGCAAACTAACACGTTCTTTCTCCTGATGAAAGCCTTCTTGTTTTTGTCAGAACCCAGTAGAGGAAATCTGACACTGATACCAGAGAACATTTGATCCTGTGGATCCACAGTGGACTGCAGGGCGTGGCTACTGTAGATTATATTTGTTCCAGTGAATCACACAGATGCTTGATCGCATGGGGATCTAGAGAGTTTTGAGATTTAGAGACTTCTTTTTTTTTTGCTGTGTTGCCTGATCCACTTGTGAGGTTGCTCAGCAACAAAGTCGAGGTGTGTAATTTTTGTAGAAGCATGGCAGCCACATAAATGCGAGAATCCAAAGGATTCCCAGCAGAACGCCGAGCTGCTGGTAAGACAAACAGCCCAATTCAGCCCAACCTGCCCAAAGATTTTAATATTCCTCATCTGTGATTTAATGCGAGTGCAGCTTTTTCCATGCATGCTGCAGCGCATTGCTCTCACCTGGACACACGGTGTTGCACGTGCTCTTCTGCACCGACATGCCCTCGCAGAAGGCTCCGCCGTTGAGAGGCGCCGGGTTGGTGCAGGTCCGCGATCGTTTCTGCACGCCCCGCCCGCAGCGCACGTTGCAGGCCGACCAGTCGCTCCACGACGACCAGCCTCCGTTCACTGGAGTGCAACCGGGATTCAAACGGGAAAGCAGTCAACGCGACATTTCCTGTTTCATGTACAACATCGGTGACCGCGGCGCCGACTGAGTCACAACCTTTCCGACGCGACGCAGGCTGTTTGACTAGTCTGCTAATTTGCTGTCACACGAGGAAAAAAAAAAAAGGAATCAAACACTATTGTTCCACTACTAAACATTGGCAATGGTAGGCCTGTCAGAGCCCTTCATTAGCATTATGGAACTTAATAATTGATGGTCTTCAGCGAGCCGCCATAGTGAGAAAGAATCAGATATGTTCCTGCTGCAGCTTAATGCTCTCGCTGAATAAATAAGGGAATGAGACGGGAGGTCGGTGAAATGGGCACGGAAACGCTAATCAATGCTTCGCTTTAGTCAAAGAAGCGCGATGCAGGCGTGACATTATGATTTCACTCTGCATTGGCCCATTAAAAGCCCGAGAACATTGTGTGCTTGCCTGTCGCGACATAAAGTGCTCTGAAAAAGGTATTTAATGCAGGCACAAATAAACAGTGAAGTGTCACTGACCTCATGGCAGCTGCTTTTCAATCATGGATAATAAGACTCTTGTAAATATTGTGACTGTCTCCTTGCTTGATACGACTGATCAGTAATGATAAACCACTCACAAGACTCAAGAGTCCAAAAAGGACCGCTGTCTAGTGGTGTCTGTTCAGTCTATAGGAGGCAATTTGACACCATAGCATAAGAGATTGACATCCGATTTACTGCTGCTTTCGTATGCAAATCATTTATTATTCTACGCTACTGCACTGCGCTTTACTTTCACGTCTTACCGTAGACTACAACCATAGCCGTGGCACTGCGTCTCTTGGCCACAATGTTGCTGGCAACACAGGTGTAGTTGCCGGAGTCAGAGAGGCGGGCCTCCGAGACGATCAGCTCATGGCCGTCCTTCTTACTGATCACGCTGTCGGCGCCAACGTTCAGGGGTTCCTCGTTTTTCAGCCACTCCACCTGCAAAGAAAGAAAGAGAGAAAGAAAAAAAAGAATCAGATTGCTCTTTTTTTTTTTTTTAGCTTAACAAAAACACTTCCTGTATTAGCGACTTTTTGCACGAGCTGATGAAACGCCGCAACACTGGGGGCCCTCTAATATGAGACTCCTCAGGAGGATTACGCTCAGATAAGAGCGACATGCGCCTTTTGTTTTATCATATGATATTATGGGAGACTGTTGTGTAAGTGTGTGATTTTGATTAGTATTTTGGAGCGTGCTGCTCTCTTTCCTGCCGCTGCACACGGCTCCAAGTCGCACTCACTACAGCACCCCTGATAAAATGTAAAAATAAGCGGGAAATTAGATTACGTTTTCACAGCACCAGCATAATCTCACACTCAAAATTTCAACCTTTGATTACAGTTTGGAGTTTTTCTTTTTTTCTACTTTCTTACTAAATTCTTCTTCAATTATTAGATTCCTATCAAGTAAATAATGCACTTTTTGTGCCTTACTTTTTCGTGTAAAGACTAATGATGATGTTACCACAAAGCACAGGGAGGTTAAAGGTCAGCTAATCTGAAAATGTGGCAGTGCGAGACCAAAGTTAAAAAAAAAAAGAAAATAGTTTCCGTACTTTCACAAATCTTTTTTTGTGCCCATAAACATGCAAAAAAGTGGGTCCCAACTCTGAGTTACCACCATTTTTAGCTGTAAAGGATGATGTGGTGTTTATCTGTCAACGTTCGGCAGACGCATCAGAGCCTGAACTCACTCAGAGACGCTGTGATTATACCATCAACTTGATGAAAGTGGCTCACGCAAAACAGGCCGTTTTTTATAATTTATATGAATTTACACGACGCTTTAGAAGGTTAATTATGTTAAGATGCTAATTCTGAATGGTAGATCTCGTGGTGCTGTACTATGCGCCTTCAAAACATCTCGGGGGGGAAAAATGCTTTGGTAGGATGAAATATAAACAAGAATGCAATGAGATCCAAGTCTCAAAAAGACTGTCAAATGATGCTACTGGCAGAGAAAGAAAAATAAGTGATATAGGCATGTTTACCACTGCGTTGCATCACTTCTGTAAGCTTTGAGAAGTGAACAGACCCGCTGCCCGCAGTGTTAAAAGCAAAATCTTCGTCTATTGATGTTTGCTTCGAGATTTGAGCTCCGTGGCCTTGGAGGGCCCCCTTTGTCGAGTACTTTGTTGGATGAAGCACCAAATGTTTTCAGCGGACGACGAGTCAGAACTTTAAAAAGAGACCAGCAGAGCCGAAAACAAAGCTGTGCCGTTGTAACGCATGCAGATTAAGGTTTCTCGGCAAGACAAAGATGCTCCTGTTGGGAAAAGACGGCCGTTTTGATGGAAGCACATGTTGCTCTGGGTTTTGTGCCATCTAGATAAACATTCATCCCATATGCCCAGGACCTCATGGTATGCAAAAGAATATCAAGTTTTAAAACACCAGATTCAAGTTACAATCTTTGAAGATTTTTTTCCTTCCTTGGTCAACTTTAAAAGATCAACTTTTTGTGTGTTTTGAATCGTTGCGTGGTGCGTTTGCAACTTGTATTTTTTGCATCAAGAAGCTCAGCTGTGTTTCTGAAACCCACAGTGATTTTCACCACAGGATGTCTGTAACGGCTCAATACTTAGGAGATTACAGCCATTCACTGCTGATTTCCTCTGTTTTTTTATTTTAATTTTTTTGCTTGCCAAATTGACAAAATCTCAAAAAGTTGTTTTAGATTTTACTTTGATGGGCAATATTCCTAAAATTTTGAACAATTTTCACTTTTTGACAGCAGCATAGTCTCCTTCCTCCTCCTTACTTCTCTCTTTCCGAAGGACTAATTGGAAGGTGCTTTCAGCTCCAAATTATCTCGACTTGTTGATGATTAATGTTCCACCGGGTGATTTACACAAATTTTCTATAATTTTGTTGTCAACTTTCCAGTTCTTCTTTGGAAAGTGTCACTGGCGTCAGATTTTAAAATGACCCCCACATAAAATAATTTAGTGGTTTTTTTTTTATCCATTTATCTACTAATGCGATGCAGACTGTTTATCAAGCTAGTAATATTTGCCTGGAATAATTAAGAAAGTAAAAAGTTGGACTAATTTATTATTCACTTTAACTCATATCTTACCAAGTATCATACACTTTATACTGCGGGGGAAGTTTAGCCAAAATAAACAGCTAACTCCAATTATTTAATTTAGTGTGGCAACTTCACAGTTTACGTCTGATTTCTGAGCAAGTTTGTCAAGAACCTTCTTCTTCTGAGTTGTTTATGATGACACCTTCAAATGCATCTCTAAACCTTATTGATGGTGTCATGAAAAAGTCAATTTATTCCACAAGTTTCAGATAATTAAGCAAATTGTTCATTTCAGCCAAATATATCCAGGGTAAATTTAACATAGAAAACAGTTCTTACTCTTAGGTTTCTTTTATTAAGGGGAAAACAGCAATTTAAACCAGGCCGACCCAAAGTGACAAATTAATTGCCCCCTAAGCCTATTAGCAGGTTTCACCCTCTAGCTGCCACCAAGCGTTTGCAATAACTGGAAGTGAGTTTTTTTTATCCATCAGTAGTATTTGTCCATTGAGCAAATAATTCCACATTTTGACATTAAGAAAACAAATTAACTTTTTGGAGACATGGCAATTTAAAAAAAAAAAAAAAAAAAACAACAACCAAAAGACTAATTTTTTGATACAATGTTTTGGTGCCAGGATGAGGCGTTTCTTAATTCGGTCGCATCAAAATTGGTTTATTTTGCAAAACAGCAATGGAAACTGTTTTTGTGTCTGAGTCACATGAACAACAACCGGATGTGGCCATTGGTGCAACCACGAAGAAGACAACAAAAGGAAGTAGTTGGAAGATCATGGTGCAGAATGTTATTTTAATGATTTGAATGAAACGTTCCAGATTTTCTGATGTATTTAATCAATTACAGGAAGTTTTCCAGATGTGGTTAAAGCAGTTTTTTTTCTCCTCTCTAATAAGTGAAACTGCTCCCAATTACCATAACTTTATGATGACTAATGCTCCACCAAACATTAAAACATAAAAACTGCTGTTTTATATTTACTTTGACTATCCTTATCAAAGTCCACGTGATGAGCTGAAACATTTCTTTGTGTAAAAAATAAAAGAACAGCAATGAAATCTGACGGGGGGAAAAATGACTGTCCCGCTGCACTGTAGACGTCAATTTTAACCTTGGTTATAAAAAAGAAAATACCAGAAATAGTTGACATTTATCAAGACGAGATGGAGCCCATTCTGCAGTAATTGCAAAATAAGTAGTTTGTAAGAAAGGAAGCACAATGCTGACAACAACCCGGAGTGAGTGATGTAGTAGGTAGGTCACATCCACTACCGTTACCAATTCATTGTCCGTGCACCGAGTGAAAGTAATAAGGAATTACAAAATAAAAGCTGCTCTGTTGATGCTCCCTTCCTCGCATGACTGGCTCTGTAAATTGCTATTAATGTGCCACTAGCATGAGCTGTTCATTGAGAGGGACGAGCCGGAGCACGAGGAGTGGGGTTTGATTTATGGCCGTGTGTTTGGGGATTAAAACTCCGCCCCCGCTGGGAGCTCCATGTGGTTGTGTATTGGTGGGGTGTGTTTCTGTGTAAGGGGGCGTCCATTTGCCAGAGGAATTTAACAAGAACCACTGAACTTGGAGATTGCTTTGCTTTTTTCCAAAACCCTTGATAAGAAAAAAAATATAGAAGTCAGAAAATCGATAAATCAAGAGTCACGTTGTCACAAGTGGGTGCTTTTTTTTGCCTTTGAAGGCTGAGGAAGTCTTTCATCATGTGGCTTTAATTTAGCTTCTTTTTTTTTCTAAAGGACTTGGCTTTGGACCTTTCAGCACGAACTAAACATTGGTGGGTTGAATTGGTCCGTCAGACGCCCTTATTTCTAAGCAAAGTTTCCTTTAATGTCATCAATGTTTATGTCCTCCATCCATGTTCACCAAAACTGATCAGACCACGAACCTGTGAATAAAATAAAACAGCAAAACCACGTCTTCCATGTCTGCTGGGGAGATTCTGTGTGAAAGAATAACAGAAAACAAAACTCAATGATGAAGTGGGAGGAAATAATTCATGATTTTTTTTTTAAATGATGAAAGCTGTTGTTGAAAGGGAAGTCCTGTTTGTAGTTTGCTTCTACAAAGTATCGACTTAGAGCAGGGTGTCAAACTCATTTTTGTTCTGGGCCAAATCAGATTATAAATGCTTTTAATAGGCCGTTTGTGCCAGAATGTATTGATAAAAACCCACTAACGTGTTAAAAATATTAACAAATTCTTGAAATTAGATAAGGCTGAAAATCTTTTCAATCCCTCCAGAATTTTTTTTTTTTTTTTGCAATAAAAATCAAAGTGTTTATGGTACTAATTTGGAAATATTGGAAATTGGAAATATTTGTGATATTTATTTATTTATTTATGACGGTAAGTGTGACTCCTTATTACTCGCTGTATCGATCATGGACTATAATCTGACATCAACTGAGGCTGAGGCAACTGTTCAGTACAAGAATGAAAGTTTTAGACAATTTTGAAGAAAAATCTGCAATCTGGCGGAAAAAACTACAGGGATTTGTTGATTTTGCATGAATTTCCACAGTAATTCACAAGAAACTAGAGGGACTGACTGATACAATTTGACAGTAAACAGATGACAACCGCAATGATTTGATTGATAACATAATGTTTAAGCAGACTTAATGTTTAGTCTAGAATCCAAATGGCCACATAAAACGCTATGGCAGGTCGGATTTGGCCCACAGGCCTCGAGTTTGACACATGTGACTTACAGGGTCTGAATACGAAGACAAAACACACTTTCTAGATTGGACTTATTGTTTTAAGATTTCGAAAACCGTGTATTGTTTTCCTTCCAATTCACATCTAAGCATCCATTTTTTGGAGGCTCTATCACATAAAACACTGACTGAAGTTTGTGTCTCTAACTTA